TTTATTCACTTTACCCCATGTACCATATATATCTCTATAACACAGTGCACAAAAACAAAACAGTTTTCCCATTTACTTTTTGGCCAAAACAAGCAGACAAACAAACAGTGTGTCCCAACACAAAACCAAAAAAATCAAGCAAAAAGAACAATTGCCTGTGCTCTGTGGGACGAAATGAAACTCTGTGGCAAAATAAAAATCCGCTTTAACCTATACCAATGTGATTATACAACCAAATACAGTAAATCACTCTCTGAACAAAGCAAAAAATCTATTTACTTTTTGGTCAAAACATAAAAAAAACATTCATTTTGTGTCAACACAAAATAAAAAATAACACAAAAAGAAATATCCCCTGTGCTCAGTGGAACAAAACAAAAGTAATATAAATATAACAAATATAAACAAATACCAACGCATTTTAGGTTTTTTAAGCAGACAAATAATCTATCCAGCTATCTATTTCAGGAGGAAGAATGTGATCTGAACATTAAAGGACACCGTTTCTCTTTAAAATGGCAAAGTGATCATATGTCCATAAAAAAAGGGAATGAGTCACTTCTGAAATAGAAAGACCAGTGAGTGAGTCAGCATCTCTATTTCTCTCACAAACAGCCTGCAGATGATGAGTAAGGACCTGTCGGTATCAAAAACCTGCTCTGAATCGTGAATAATTGATCAAAGACAAGGCAGCTACACCGACACAACAACATACATGACCACTGCATCACAAGCACAAGCTTCCAGGACGTGTGGAAGTTTCTTACTATAAAATGAGAGAGTAAAACTACTTGGGCTTTTGAGAGGCCAATATATCAACCGGTTGGCCTAATTATGTTAAAGAAAACCAATATCTGGAATAGTATGTTTTGTTTGTTTACAGTGGATTGCACATGCACACACACACTTCTGTCCTGTTAAGATGATTCTGAGGCAGCAGACAGAACGTCATCATTGAAGAGCAGCAACATTTTCAGCGTTATTGATTAATCTGTGCAAAAGAGAGCAGGCAGAGCAATAAGTTTTAAATTCATGTCAGTGGTCTTTGGCAACCCAGAGATGACTAAGCTGCTGAACTGCTGCAATAGACGTGACACCGTCCAAAATCCTCCACTTAAGGTAATGAATATTGCAATTTGTTCTCTTAACAAGGGCAGTTCTAATACGAACTCTGTTTGGATTTCCCGTTATCTCACGTCAGCTGGACGCAATAATGTCCTGCAGTGCTATACGAAAAAACTGTCGGTCAAAACATCTTTCATATTGGCAGCTATGAAGCACAGATGAAGAAGCACAGAGTATGGCAAGCCAACTTAACATATAAAGCTTAGTCATTCAGTACAATGAGTGGTGTAGAACAAGGCTGTGTCTAATTGCTGATTAATGCTGATGGGAAGACAACAGAGCACATGTGTATTCAATGATCATTTCACGTAAGTTTATTCTTTGCTGGCATCACAAGGGCGCCATGCGTAGTATGATCACCTCACAGCAAGAAGATCACTGGTTTGAGCCTCGGCTAGGTCAGTTGGCATTCCTGTGTGGAGTTTGCATGTTCTCCCCGTGTTGGTGTGGGTTTCCTCCAGGTGCTCCGGTTTACTGACGGTTTTCTTATGCTGGATAAGTTGGCAGTTCATTCCACTGTGGCGACACCAGATTAACAAAGGGACTAAGCCGAAAAGAAAATTAATAAATGAATGAATGAATTATTCCTTGCTGTCTATGATATCTTAAAATATTTTGTCTTTAAGTTATTGACAACTGCACCAAAATACTAATATGTCATATGAAATATGATGATAAATCTAACAAGCCTCCTATAGGTGCTCATTCACACTGAATGCGTCTTTGCTTAGTATTTGCTTTGCAACGTGTTCATGCATCCGGACACAGCCACTGAGTGCCTGTAAACAGAGGTTGGCAACACTTGCCCAACCTCAGAGTTCTTCTGGGGCGTTATGTAGATAGACGTATGAACATTAGGAATTTATTTGCTTCGTTTATGCGAAATTCACTTCATTCGAATTCAGTCACTCGAATTGTCATGAAAGAGGCTTCATTCTGCCTGTTGACCTCAGTTTTGTTGCTAATGGCTGACATGGATTTTATTAAGAGAGTAACTGTGCTTTATGTACTTTAGGAAGGCTGAAAAACTTTAGACACATTCAGCGGTACTTCTAACTGAGCCAGTTCCAGTTTGATGACCTGTTGTCCTGTGTCAGCAGGAGTATTTGCCCTGAGGACACCAACTACAGGTGCTCCATCATAATCACGTCCCTACTAGAGCAAGCTCCAGATTGGTTAACGAGAATGTCTTCCAAATGTCTGCTGTATCATTCGTTCGATTTGACTTATTAAGGTGAATAGTGCTTTAGGATGTCTGATTGCTTCCATTGCTTCCATTGACTTAACATGTAAATCACTCGTGCTTGACGCTTTATCTGCTTCAGGTGTGATCGTACCATTCTGATTGGTCTACCGATTTGAAACTGAGAGTGATGAGCGGCACTGCTTGTGAAAGGTACAGTTCTTTTAACTTGATATGCCATCTGAAAAGCATGGTGCTCATCACGATGTGTGACAGTAACAACACACCAGGGGCCTCATGTACGAAGACTTGTGTTGAAATCATACTCAAACATTGCGTAGGCACAAAGCTTTAAATGTGCGAACACAGTAAAAAATTCAGATGTATGAAACACTGCGTACGCCAAATCACACGCATATTCTCTTTGTACATCCGAATGAACGTGAAACTGAGCGCACGTGCATGAGCGCAAAACCCATCCCTGCCTCCTCCCCCGTATGATTATGCTAATGACTCTACGTTGGCAAAACCGAACGAAAAAGCAACATTCCCACGTTCATTTCACCGTTAGTAAATCCAAACGTGAGCATGAAACCTGCCGTACGCAAAGTTTTTGTGCATACGCAGCGTTGATACATGAGGCCCTAGGAGTGCAGGCAAAAACATAGGAAGTTTATTTAAATAAAAGTCAACAAAGACAGGCTGCTGCGTGCAGGATGTCGGTTGGTGCGCAGCACTGGAGAGATTAAGAGTGCTCGGAGAGGGGTGAAAGCCCACAGAGAGGGTGAGCCAGGTGGCTGATCAGGTAAGCTGGTGAGAGACGACAAACCCAGCTGGAGGGTGAGATCCGCAGCCGACCCTTGAGAGCTGGCAGTCGTCGAGCAGAGCAGAGTACAGGTGAGCTCCGGGAACAAGTAATGCACACAATAAGACAGGGCACGACTAAACAAAACTACATAAATACTATATTAATAGAAGCATGGTGACAACTAGAGTGATCAGACAACATAGAAAGTAATAATCTGGCAAAGAGTCAGAAAACACAGATGTAGATATAGAGATGCTGATCAGCTATGAGTGACAGCAGGTGCCACAGCAAGGATTGAAAATAAGGGATCTACAGTTGAGTGGAGAGAAGAGCCCCAAAAATTAAAGGAAGAAAGAAAGGAATCAAACCTGGACCATGACCCGGTGCTTTAGAAGATGCAAGATGTGAGCATAATGGTCACACACATCCGTCAAGCACCTGTTTCCATTGGAAAACAACAGAAAAGTAGTTCATTGGAAAAGAAAAACACGTTCAACCGTCTCGAGACCCACTGTAGAGCCTAGTCGAATGCATACGTCTCATCTTTCCCAGCAATCAGTGGTGGTTCTAGTTTAAATGGCACACTGGGCAAACCACCCTATACGGATGCCCTTCCAGCCGCAACCCAGTACTGGCCAATATACCGACAATATTATTATTAATATACAATTATTATTCTAAATAAATAACAGAAATCAATCCTAAATGTTACTGGAAAACAATGTACAGAAAGACACAACTGGAGTGATGTGCAAAGATCACTTGCATAACATACCTCACTCATTATCCCTCCTTTCTGCTTTATAGCCATGTTTAGTCAAAATAAGAGCAAATATAAACTTAAATTTTGTTGAGTTGCAAAACTCGTATGCCGACACCTCTGCATAAAAATTACACCAGTTACTCCCATTTCACAGTACATAGACACGCGTATTTTATTGGCGTGACTGTAAACAACTGGGATTGCATGAGGCACGCAGGAATCGTTTTCCACGTGCATGTGTCAGTTTGATTTCACCAGCGTTGTTTCAGTTGCACATCGAGAGTAACAAGCTTGCGCATACAAAAGACGCTAAATGTGAATGGCCCTTAACATCTTTATTCTGGGATTAACAGTCTGATTCAATATACCTGCATGAAGTACATGGTATCTCAAAGCTTTTACTCGGGCACGTTTTTTTTCTCCCCGTGCCGTCCCCCAGCAAGATGACGCCCTGGTCGATCGCCCATATTCCCCTTGCCTAAATCCGCCACTGCCAGCAACACATATGTGGAAGCACCAAATACAAACGTGACAATAACTATGCATACCTTTTCATGTTAATGACTTTGCGAACCTGTATTATTATCCAAACAGCAAATCCAATGCGTTCATGTAGCATGCCGAAGTTTGTATACATGTGGATAACAAGTGATAATAATAACGTGTTCTGTTCGTGAAGCAACTTAATAACTTTTTTCTAGTTGGTTTCCATGTTTGTCGAAAGTTAGCACAAGTCACCTCTTGAGTTATCCTCAACAAAAGACACAGAGCAAGAACACATTTGAGGACTTTGACTGTACTTGAAAAGTTGTGTATTTTGAATTGGAACAGTACTTCGGTGGTTGTTTATGATGTTCACGAAAATACAAAAACAAAAGTACAGAAAAGGACACATATTGAGAAATGGCCCTTGAACAAAGAGTTATTTTTTTACAAAGTGATATTGCTAACTGCTGGTTTGGTGTAAAGAATTTTAATTGTTATGTTTACTGTTATGTTACCCTACCCAAGTGAATAAATATTAAAACGGCCTGCCATAGAGAGAGTGAGAGTGAGACTGTGTGTGAGGGAGAGAGAGAGAAAGAAGGAGAGAGCAACAGAGCAACTGAAGACGCACAGTCAGTTGTGGATCAGTCTTACTAATGCACGGACACGCGCACACACACAGGCAGACAGTATGGGACACTCGTGGTTTCTACGTACAGTTCTACTTTTATTCGCCCTACCTGAAGGTAAGAACATACAATTTCTCCTGTAGTTTATTTATAACTGATTTGATTATTTATTAGCTATATTGTATTTTCCCTTTGGCTCATCTGTCATTATGTATAACGAATTATGAGCAGATGATTAGGCTAATATCTAGAGAATGAGCCAACTGTTTTGACGACAGATGCAGATGATGGCCGTTGAGAGTTATGTTTGTCCATCTGTTAATTTGTGCTCGATAATATGTCCACTAATTAGTTTTTTTTAAATATAATTCATTAATTAATGTATTTTAAAAAGATGATATTAGCCATAATCAGTGATATATTAATTTGACTAATTATTATGTCTAATTAACTCGTAACTTACATCGCTCGTATCTCATCTGTTAGCTATATGTCAATAATTAATTAGCGTGTAATTAGAGTCGTATAAGTCAATTGACTCCAGCACTGAACTAACGGCTAATTTAATAAACACGTCAACACAATCACCACAATAAACAGTGAAATATCAGCACAACATGTTCTTAACTAACGGCCTTTTTGTTTACTCGTCTAACGTTAACGTTATCTGATGGATTGTAACAAGAAGCAACAGATGAAGGTAGCCTACCTTCCGCCGACAAGTGTCTTGAAATGGCCTGCGTGTTTTACATAGCCATCCATGAGGATTTACATTGTTTTTCATTTAGCATATTTGTGTTGTTTCAGGTATACGTTACCTGTCTAAATACAAACCACTTTACCTTCAACATTCGCCATTTAAAAAACTTTACCTCAACTCCAGGTTTTGCATCTGGCGGTGTTACAATTTCATCTTAGTTGGCTATTTATAGGCTGAAAGAAAAAGACAAGTTTTATGAACACTAGGCTACGTTAAATAAGTACAGTAAATCTTTAAAATGCGAGTTGTTCTTTATAAATTCTGCGCACTTTCGTCTTTGTTGTTGTCATTGTGTGTTTGAGAGCGAGAGAGAGCGATTGATGAATGTTTTAATCCAGCGGGAAACGGCAATCCTTAGAAATTTGCCTGCCTTAGTCACTAATTACCCCGTACAAACTTCATCTCGATGCATCATGGTGAGGTAACAGATTAGTCATTGTGGATAATGGGAGAATAGCCATAATTGTTTGAAATAGCAGTTTGTAATCATTGTAAAAAATTATCTTTAAAGGTCATTTCACCACATTAAATCGTTTTTTGTTATTTATACAATTATGGAATAAATAAAAAAGAGACTTGAAAGTTCTGGTTTTATGGGTTTGTTATGAGTTTATTTTTTTTTAATTTGTTTGCAAATATATAAATATGAGGATAAATATGAGAATGCTCTTCTAAAAACGTGCCATTTGCAATATAGCCTACACTGAAAAAACATTCATTAGATTTACTCATTTTTTAAAGACAAGCTGCTGCAATTAATTTGTTTGGGTTGAATTTAAACTAACATATTAAGTTAGACTTAATTTATATGTGCTGAATTTAGGCAAACAAATTATGTTGTTCTAACTCAATTTCATTTAGCTATCTTTAGCCAAGGAAATTCAGTAAGTTCAATACAAATGAAATGCTATTCCTACTTTATTTTTATTTTCAAATTTTATCCTATTAAAATTATCTATGAACTGCTTGCATATATACTTTGAAATGACAATTGACCAAGTTTGTTTTTAATTGCTTTTTAGGATGCAATTTCTAACAATAATTAAATCCCTGCCCATAAGTTCTTCAACACCACAACGTTTAAAATAACAGTTCTTACATTACATTTTTATCACACACACATACAGGCTCACATACTTTTAAAAAAGTAAATGTGAATAAACACGTCTTGAATTGATAACGATTACTTATTTACTTGCTCTAAATATATTTAAATAAATTATGTAAGATAATACAGTCAAACACAAGAAAGTGAGAGGGAAGTAAAAATGCTGTTTCCTTTTATTTTAAGGTTTAATGCCATAGTTTTGCACAATTTGTATTTTTTCACGTATTTCACATGCTATGGGATCAAGGAGTTATTATTTTATTTAGTTTGTCAAAATTAGAAAGTTCAGAGCAGAGTAGTGCTTTAATAACTGCATGTTTTTAGAGGGTTTTATCTATGATAAAGCCCTTCTCATCTTCCTGACTGTCAACAAAGTGATAACTGATAGCGTGTGCTGTGTTGTTGATTAGCCTGACCTTGTATGCATGGTAAACTGATTTGTGTTTGTTTGTGTTCCAGGATGGTCTAAACCGGTTATCACTCCTGATGCCCCCCATCTGGTGATTCTTAAAGGTAAACAACTGTATCTCCGCTGTCACGATGATGCAGATGTGAACGCAGGCAGGGTGCGATGGCTCCGGGATAAAGGTCGGAGAATTGAAGGAGAGCTAAAGGATGATGAAGCCAGTGTCATTCTCCTCAACATCACAGAAACGCAGCATATGGGCAATTACACCTGTGAGAACACAGAAACTGAAGAGAAGAGCTCTATTTACATTTATGTGAAAGGTGAGTTTGAATCAGCTCGGGAGTTAATTAATGTGTTAAAAAATGGTACCGGCAGCATGGTGGCACAGTGGGTAGCAAAATCACCTAACAACAAGAAGGTCACTAGTTCAAGCCCCGGCCGGGCCAGTTGGCATTTCTGTGTGGAGTTTGCATGTTCTCCCCGTCTTCGCGTGGGTTTCTTACAGGTGCTCTGGTTTCCCACACAGTTAAAAGTCATGTGATACAGGTGACTTGAAAAAGCTTAATTGGCCGTAGTGTATGTGAGTGTGTGCAAGAGTGTGTGAATGTTTTCCAGTGTTAGGTTGCAGCTGGAAGGGCATTCACTGCGTAAAACCTTTGCTGGATAAGTTGGCGGTTCATTCCGCTGTGGCGACCCCTGATTAATAAAGGGACTAAGCCAAAAAGAAAATGAATGAATGAAAATGGTACCAAAATTGTCAAAAAGATCTGAACATGTTGCATTCGATTTCTTTTGAGATGTTGTCTGGAGCACTGAGCATGACAATCACTTTTCAGTATTTCTGTTCCAATATTAATGCAATGAATGACAGTGAATGAATCAAAGGCATTTAGATTAGTCACTACAAAAAGCTTTTGTTCAGTGACTGAATTCTGAACCTCTCATATGATGATGCAGATTCTTTATATTGATTTGGTACGCTTAGTGAATACAACGGGAGATTTTGTGAAATTAAAAAACCTGTGCTATAGGCTTAAATCATACATTGCTTGCCTGTGTAGCCAAAATGAGACAAACAAAACCTTAATCGTATAATACTCAATCATTTAGTAATTTTCTTTTCGATTTAGTCCCTTTAATTATCCGGGGTCGCCAAATGAACCGCCCACTTATCCAGCATGTTTTTACGCAGTGGATGCCCTTCCAGCCGCAACCCATCTCTGGGAAACAACCATAAACTCTTATTCACACTCATACACTATGGACAATTTAGCCTACCCAATTCACCTGTACCACATGACTTTGGACTGTGGGGGAAACCGGAACACTCGGAGGAAACCCACGCGAACACAGGGAGAACTTGCAAACTCCACACAGAAACACCAACTGACCCAGCCAAGGCTCAAACAAGCGACCTTCTTGCTGTGAGGCGACAGCACTACCTACTGCGCCAGTGTGTCGCCAATCTTATAATAATTTTTACAAAATAATTGCACTATTTTTATATTTAAATGAAAATTTTTTTTTTACTTTTTAAGATTTTTTTAATTAAGATTTCATATTAATAAACTGTATTTATAGCTTTATTATAAAGCATTTATTTATATAAAATATAGAAATATACATTTTTATTCTATACTTGAAATGAAGTATTTAAAAGTACAATCCACTGAATGGAAGCAGATTAGTACCAAATTGCCAAAAAATTAAAAATAAATAAATAAATAAATAAATAAAACAAGTAATAATAATACATCTTGAATACCACTAGAAAAATGTAAATATATAATTTAACATGTATGCAAGGCGAGGCAGTGGCGCAGTAGGTAGTGCTGTCGCCTCACAGCAAGAAGGTTGCTGGGTGGCTTGTTCGAACCTCGGCTAAGTTGGTGTTTCTGTGTGGAGTTTGCATGTTCTCCCTGCCTTCGCGTGGGTTTCCACCGGGTGCTCCGGTTTCCCCCACAGTCCAAAGACATGCGGTACAGGTGAATTGGGTGGGCTAAATTGTCCTGGAATACTCTGGAATAGTTGGCGGTTCATTCCCTGTGGCGACCTCTGAAATAGAGACTAAGCCAAAGGAAAATGAATGAATAAACAGTTTGCTGATATCAGTTTATAATTTCTATTTGAACTAATCAAAGTAATACATTTTACAAGGGAATTATAAAAATATCCCTAGAATTAAGGAAATTTTTGAAAAAAAAAACCCTGAAAATTTGACAATGTTTACACAGTTTTCTTTGATTTGAGTGGTTTGTTTGTCCTTTGGCCGCCTCAATACCCACATACACTTTATTCATAAAAGAGTTTTAATACTTGAATAGGTCTTTTGTTAAAAGCACAAATGCAGGCCCTTAAGCTGTGTACTCAAACCACACCTTAGTGTAAATTAGTTTTAAAGTCTTTTATATTTTGCTATTGTTAACCGTCATTGAATGATATAGGTATTTAAGCAGTTAAATGTACACCTCTTGCACAACAATGTCTAACGAAAGCACAAGTTCTCTCTATATTTGCATTTTTTTCTGTTTTCTACATAAAATGTCTCATCATTTACTTTCTCTGGCAGATCTGGGCAGTGCATTTGTTCGGCGCATGGTGAACGACCTTCAAGTGAGAAAAGGAGAGGAAATCACTCTTCCTTGTTTAGTAACAGACCCAGCTGTCAGTCACTTGTCTCTGCAGACCTGTAATGGCTCTGCCCTACCAGCTGCTCTCACCTTCATCACGCACCCTCAGGGAGGAATCACCATCAGAAATGTGTCCAAAGCCTTTGAGGGCTGCTACTTCTGCGCCGGACAACTGGATCAAAAACCTGTCAAATCCAGAGAGTATAACTTGGTTGTGCGGCTAGGTGAGTGAGTGGTAAAGCAGTGGCTCTTAAAGGCATAGTTCACCAAGAAAAAGGAAAGAAATAGGTCACACTTTATTTTGAGTGTCCGTTTGTTATATTGCATCTACATGTCAACTAATTCTCATTAGATTATAAGCAGACTGTTAGGTTGGGGTTAGGGTTAGTGTAAGTTGACGTGTACTTGCAAAGTTTCTTATAGTCAGTTAAATGTCTTTTAAAGGAGCGTATCAGCAGATATTAAGCACACAGTCTACTAATATTCAAATGGACCATCAAAATAAAGTGTTACCAAGAAATATATTTATCATTTATTCACTTGACTTGTGCAGGAAAAAAAAGCATTATTATCAATATTAAAATATAAATATAGTGTGTAGACAAACAATTCATAAATGTTTTTATTTGTGCTACACAGAAGAAAGGTTGCCATACTGGTTTGAATTTTCTCTCTTAGAAAGCGAAACAACTAAGTAAGAAATAACAAATAAGTTAAATAGTGTATTGTACAGATGTTAATTAAAAATGGGAAATATGCTAGTTTTCTCTATGCATGATAATATGATTTTGTGCATGTTTACTTTTGCATCATTTTGGTCACTTTTTTGTGAATTACTTTGAAGAAAATAATCTTAGAGAGCTGATAAAAAGAGGCATTTACATTTATTTAGTCATTTAGCAGATGCTTTTGTCCAAAGCAGCTTATAATTGAGGAGGCATTCAGCGATTTGGCAAGAAGAGTTTTTGAAGAAGAGAAGCAAACAGACTGTTTAAAGTGTGATGATGAAATAATTACATATAAACAAATATTTAAAGAAGTATTTAATGCATTGATTATACTGATTTATGAAGGATCACCTGAAACTGAAGACTGCTGAAATTCAGCTTTGCCAACACAGTTTCAAAGCAGAAAATCATTTCAAATTGTAATATTTCACAATGCTGTATTTTAATCAAGATATGTAGCTTTGGTGAGTTTCATCTTAATTGTTTTAAAATTATATCCATTAGTTTTATAATTTTAATATATATAAAAAAAAGTGGTATAATATATATAATTTTGGTCATAATTAAAAAAAAAACTGAATCTGAGCAATGTTAATCATAATGTAATTAGAGTGATCATAAAAATTGCATGCTATTATTATTGTTTTTACATAGTTTTTAGTTCTGTCCTGAATGAAGAATTTCATATAAAAGATGTTTACATGAAAATATCATAACGTTTATTTATGTCCACTGATATTAACTGAATTTATAATAAAATATATATTTTTTAAAAAGTTGTTATTTACAAAATTAAAAAACAAATCACAAAATGTATAAAAGTCAACAGATAATACCTGAATCTATAAAAATACCCCATTTGTAAACCTTTATAAGTTGTGCATGAGTAGCATAATGTTCATTTATTGTAACCAGTTGTTTTTTTTTGTCCTTTGGAGTAAATGTTAGCATCTGTTAAAATAACTCATTTAGAATAAAACAATAATAAAAAAACAATAAAAAATAACAAAGGAGCGGCTCTGTGGTTAGCACTGTTGCTTCACAGCAAAAAGGTTGCTGGTTCAAGTCCCGACTGAACCAGTCAGCATTTCTGTGTGGTTTTTGCATGTTCTTGCTGTGTTCGCGTGGGTTTCCTCCGGGTGCACAGGTTTCGTTAAATTGGGTGAATGAAAATTCTCTGTAGTGTATAAGTGTGTGTGTGTGTGAATAGGTGTATGGGTGTTTCCCAGTACTGGGTTATAGCTGAAAGGGCATCCGCTGTGTAAAACATATGCTGGAAAAGTTGGCGATTCATTCCACTGTGGCAATCCCCTGATAAATAAGAGAAGGAAAATTAATGAATGAATGAAAAAATAATAAGAACATGTAAATTTTGTGATGCCTCTTATATTGTTAAATTTCTAAACTTTTATTTTGCATGGTATATGCAAACTTATTTTCCAATTGTAAACAGTATATCTCAATATTTCTATAAAAAACATTTTGTGTTGTGTTTTATTACATGTTTGTTTCCCTCAAAAACAGCACCAGAGTCCGTGCCAGCAATCAGCCTCTCCAGAAATGAAAATGTGATCCTGATCCAAGACCAGGAGTTTAAGCTCAGCTGCAGCGCCGTCAACATCAACCACGATTTCCACCTGAGATGGACAATCCCTTCTGAAGCGGTTAGACACAAACACCTGTTGCATACACTCCCATACACTCAAGCTGTTTCCTGTAAACATGCTACTTAACCTGGACTGTTGTTCTCAATAATGATTTAGACAGCACTGGAAAGCCATAAATCAAACATTCAGCCTGGATCTAGAGAATATCAGCGATCAATAACATTGTGGATCCAATCTGTGAAGATAAACGACACGGGATCCTATCGCTGTAATGCCAGGAATGAGAAGGGGGTCTCCATGGCTGCTGTCAATCTGGAGGTTTACGGTGAGAATTGTGAAATAAAGGTTTAAACTGAATTTTTTTTAGCTTTCTAATTAGTGTTGACTTTAACCTGAGCAAAAAGTGCAAGACAGATTACTTGAAGGAAAACGAACATAATAGATTTTGGCAAATTATTAAAATTAGCGATGATAGTCCAGCATTTCAATTAAGAGATTCATTAATGTTGATTAATCTTCACCTTGCTAAATGACAGTTTTCAGCAAAAGACACATCCTTGGCAAACAACAGGAAATCTGTGTGTGTGTGTGTGTGTGTGTGTATGGCAGAGCGTGGTTTCATTAACCTCACAGAAGGAGAGAACAGGGTGGTGGAGGTGCGAGAGGGAGAAAGTCTGACCCTCAGTGTAGAAATAACTTCATACCCCAAACCCAACGACGTCTTGTGGACTTATAACAACCAGGAGCTCCAGAACACATCTGAGCATGTCATTACACTGCACAACCAACAATACAGGTACACACACATACAAATTATGGATTTAATACATTTATATTGTAGTTTATTATTATTATTGTTTTTTGTTTTTTACATTTTTTTATTTTATTTCAAGTGAAATGTAAAAATGCTTCTGCTGTTTCACAGTCCTTAATAAAAAACCTGACATAGAAATGAGGGATTTATTTTTTTTAATTTGAATTCAACAATTTTAATTTATGCAATTTAAAAATAAATACTCAAAAAATTACCATATTTCATCCGACCAATAAAAGAAAAGTGTTTTTAATACAAAAAAGTCAACCTTCAAAAAGTCACTTTTATTGTCACATCATTAGCAGCACGTGTGCTATGATGAGTGAAAAGCTTAGGTGCTGGCTCCAGACAGTACAAAACACAGATGCAAATACAACCACAGTGCAAAATACAGACAGTGCCAATAAAATGACAGTGTAAATACAACTACAGTGCAAATTACAGACAGTACAAAATACAGATAGTACAAAATTATGTTCAGTTATGCACTCAATTCTTGGTCGGAAAACCTTTTGCAGAAATGACTGCTTCAATCTGGCATGGGATGGAGGCAATCAGCCTGTGGCACTGCTGAGGTGTTATGGAAGCCCAGGATGCTTCGATAGCGGCCTTAAGCTCATCCAGAATGTTGGGTCTTACACCTCTCAACTTTCTCTTCACAATATCCCACAGATTCTCTACGGGGTTCAGGTCAGGAGAGTTGGCAGGACAATTGAGCACAGTAATACCATGGTCAGTAAACCATTTACCAATGGTTTTGGCACTGTGAGCAGGTGCCAGGTTGTGCTGAAAAATGAAATCTTAATCTCCATAAAGCTTTTCAGCAGAAGGAAGCATGAAGTGCTCCAAAATCTTCTAATAGCTAGCTGCATTGACCCTGCCCTTGATAAAACACAGTGGACCAACACCAGCAGCTGACATGGCACCCCAGACCATCACTGACTGTGGGTACTTGACACTGCAGGCATTTTGGCATTTCCCTCTCCCCAGTCTTCCTCCAGACTGTGGCACCTTGATTTCCGAATGACATGCAAAATTTGCTTTTATCCTGTAGCCCAGGTCAGGTACTTCTGCCGCTATTTCTGGTTCAAAAGTGGCTTGACCTGGGGAATGTAGCCCATTTCCTGCACACGCCAGTACATGGTGACTCTGGATGTTGCTTCTCCACACTCATTCAACTGCTTCCGCAGGTCCCCCAAGGACTGGAATCGGTCCTTTTCCACAATCTTCCTCAGGGTCCAGTCACCTCTTCTCATTTTGCAGCATTTTCTGCCATACTTTTTCCTTCCCACAGACTTCCCACCGAGATGCCTTGATACAGCACTCTGGGAACAGCCTATTCCTTTAGATATTTCTTTCTGTGTCTTACCCTCTTGCTTGAGGGTGTCAATGGACAGCAGTCAGGTCGGCAGTCTTACCCATGATTGCGGTTTTGAGAAATGAACCAGGCTGGGAGTTTTTATAAGCCTCAGGAATCTTTTGCAGGTGTTTAGAGTTAATTAGTTGATTCAGATGATTAGGTTAATAGCTCGTTCAGAGAACCTTTTCATGATATGATTATTTTTTGAGATGGGAATTTTGGGTTTTCATGAGCTGTATGCCAAAATCATCAATATTAAAACAATAAAAGGCTCGAACTACTTTATTTGTGTGTAATAAATCTAAAACATATGAAAGTCTAATGTTTATCAGTACATTACAGAAAATAAGGAACTTTATCACAATATGCTATTTTTTTTGTGAAGGACCTGTGTATATATATATATATATATATATATATATATATATATATATATATATATATATATATATATATATATATATATATATATATATATAAAACATTAGATTGATTGTTAATTAGTAGATTGCAAGTACATAGCAGAACAGAAAGTGCATTTTAACTGATGGCAAATGGCATTAAAAGGTAAAATTATGCATATAATATAAATAACAGGAAGTACTATAGAAACATTGTTGAAGTAGCAGGGTATCCACAGGGTCTTAAAAAGTCTTAAAATGTCTAACGTTTCAAAAACAAAATTTTAGGCCTTAAAGTCTTAAATTTACTAAAATATTGTGTTATGTGACTATGTGAATATACGTGTTGTGTTCTTATATAGTTTTTTAACAGGTCTTAATTTTCCTCTGCTCAAGTAAAGCTACACAATCCAACCAACATCTATATAAATCACCAACAATCCATCTTAATAAAACCTTTTTTTTATATTTAAGTTTATATTTATTATTTATATTGCAAAGAAATACAATTTACAATGGCTGTTAGAAATATTTTACAGTAATTCCTCCAAATGAATTCCCTAATTCACAGGGAAAGAAAACCAAACAAATACACAGTTCTCATGATTATAACAATATATCAATTTAGCAATATATCCCTTTACGTTATCTTTCATTCATACAAAAACTATTAACAGAAGTAAGGGGGATATTTCTAAATAGGCATGAAACTTAAGGATTTATTACAGAAATGCAGAATAGAAATTCAAATTACAGAATAGAATTTATAGTCAATCTGTTGTCAAGCCAACAAAAATATATTTTTGATTATTTATGTAATTGTCTCTACAATAAATATGCTTTTAACAATGTTAAACTTGTCATTTTTTGTCAAAAACAAAATATTATGTTGAAAAACATGTATACAACTGAAATCTTCTTGTTTTGACACATTAAAGTATGTCGCTAAGAAATAATTACATTTGGTTGCAAGCAAGCAAAAAAAAAAAAAAGAATCCATTGGCCAACCCGGGCCATTAGAAATAATCAGTAGTGTTTAGCCTTGTATAAAGGGTCTTAAAAGGTTTTAAAAGGGTCCTAAAAAGTATTAAATTTGACTTGATAAAACTTGCAGAAAGCCTGAGTAGGGACAAGTTATTATACAATATAGTTTTTTTTAGTTAAATGTTAACAATTTTGAATAAAAATGCATGCTGCTTAAAATACTAGGAACAGTTTTATTTATACAGGGTTACACTTTAAGGTGAGGTTAAACTCACTTTCCATCTTTTAGCTCTGTTCTTAATCACGTTAACCTGATTTCTAATATAAGCCTTGTGCATTGTTGTTTGTCGGAATGTTTCAGGTACATCAGTGAACTGAGGCTGGTTCGAGTTCATGGATCAGAAGGCGGGATCTACACTTTCTCAGCCAATCACAAATACGAGTCGGTCAATCAGTCATTCACCGTTCATGTTATTTGTGAGTTTAAAAGAATTGCAATATTTTAATTCTGATACATGCTTTTTACTTTGTTTTTCTTTTTAAAACTTTTTTTATTAACACACTAAACCTCTCATTCAGGTAAACCAGTGATTGTTTCCCAGGAAGGGCCTGTTGATGGACAGGTGCGGTGCGTTGCTTCAGGATATCCTGTCCCCAAAATATCTTGGTATTACTGCGAGCCACCACATACTCGGTATGAGTCACAGACAAACTAATATAAGCCACTCAAACATATGTTATGTAAGAAGAGTAGACAAATCATTGTGACTGGAGTCTCACAAAGACAGGAAACAGAAAAGTGTTTATTTTTTTATTAGGAAAGACACTACACTACTTGATAAATGTATTATCGTTGATCCCATTTGTAAGCGCAACAACTAATAACTTGACTTGATTGAATGGATCATTTGGAAAAGTAACAGAAGGTCGATTTTTCAGAAGAATCATCTGTTGAACTGCATCCCAGTCATCACAAATAATGCAGAAGACCTATTGGAACCCACAAGTTTAGTGATGAAAAAAATCATGGTTTGGGGTTACATTCAGTTTGGGGGCGTGCGAGAGATCTGTAGAGTGGTAGGCAGCATCAACTGCCTGAAGTATCAAGACATTTGTCTTGCCCATTACATTACAAACCATCGGAGAGGGCAAATTCTACAGCAGAATAGCTCTCCTTCTTATACTTCAGCCTCCACATAAAGGTTTTTGAAAGCAAAGAAGGTCAAGGTGCTCCAGGATTGGCCAGCCCAGTCACTAGACATTATTGAGCATGTCTGGGGTAAGATGGAGGAGACATTGAAGATGAATTCAAAGAATCTTGATGAACTCTAGGAGTCCTGCAAGAATGCTTTCTTTGCCATTCCAGATGACTTTATTATTAAGTTATTTGAGTCATTGTAGAGATGCAGACGTCCAAGCTCTAGAGTCATGCACAAGATTAATTTCTTTTCCACTGCAGCATGACTTTATATTCTATACAGATTTTTTTCTGTTCGAGCTCTTTGCAAAAGTTTGAAAATAACCAGTAATAAAAGTAGATTTCCAAATTCCCCACTATAAAACCTTTTATTTGACTCAATTTATTTAATCCAATATTGAGATTTTATTTAAACTAGAAATGTATGCAAATTAGCGTGGATTTCATTACATAATGCATAATTGATAATTTTAGAATAACATTTTGGAAAACTTGCAATACAAAAATGTTTGCAATTCCTAATGGAGTCAGTTAGTTGTTTAAAACTAATTGTTTTCCCCTACTCACCTGCAGTATCTTGCAGTGTAAAAAAGCATGTTTGTCATATTCTGTGAGGTCTAAATATAATTTATACTCCATGACAGATGCTCCCACCTGTTGAATGCGACACAAGCAGATGAGGAGTTTGCTGTAATTACAGTGTCGGGGTCAGAGTTCGGACGAAGTGAGGTGGAGAGTCGACTTAATATCAGCAAAGGGAAATTTCACACTCTTGAGTGTGTGGCAAGCGCTCAAGGAGAACAGGCCTACACCCTTTTTTCAATTAGTGGTGAGTTTCTTCACTTCTTGTTTTTATAATGAAAATCACAAATATAGAAGTTCAGTCTGAGGACTCCAAGTAAAAAATATTTATACAGATTAAACTCAAAGCCAAATGCTGCTAGTGGATAGCTGCTGCTTACAAGTTCACGAGTCACAATTAATGTGTGATGTGTGTTCAAGTGATTTTAGTAGGAAAATGGATGCAATTTCATATTGTTTTCTTTTTTCTACTTGCTGTTAATACAGAAAGCTTTTTTGCTCTAATGCAACAAAATGAACAGCAATGGATTTGCATTAGGGCTGTAATAGGGGCTTTGTCTATTTAATCTTTTTTACTTTAGAATGATGCTGAATGTAGTTTATTTCACACAAAAGAGTGAGGTCTCATTTACTAATAATGACATATGACAATATATGGAATCCACTAGGATTTCTAAAGGAAGCTGATACATCTTGCTATCACCTGTTATTAATATACCATTGCTTTGATACCTTTTATATAAAAAGGTATATACATATAAATATATAAATTTGTATGTTTTTTTAGTACATGTTAAAAGTTACTAAAAATTAATAAAGACAGTGCTTAAAATAGCCCAGGTTATCAAAATTTCAGCTGCTCCCAATTTTTTAAAAATTTGTAATACATTTTACTATGAAAGTTCTTTTTTGACATTCATTGCTCTTAGACAGATTTAGACAGGAAGGGAAGTAAAAAAAAGAGAGGGGAACGGGATCAGATAAGTTACACAAGCCCGCAACGCTACCGATGCCCACTTTGTAAGAAAGATTTGATGGATTAAGATTTATTCATGAAAATGTTTGGACACACAAATTTGTACGCACACATGCTTAGTGAATGAGATCCAATGACGTCAAAACTACCTGAATGAGCAATATTGTTTATAATAGTCAGTAAAACAGACTTATTTAAAACCAGAAAAGAAAAACAAACAAACAAAACAAACAGAAGTGTACCATCAATAACAGTATGTATGCTTAAATTCTACAGTCAAAATGTACATTTAATCTTTATTATACCAAACCTAAGAAGCATTTTAACGTTAAGGGTGTCTCCAAATGGAGGTCTGATTGAGAAAACTTATTTCAGCTCATTCTTAGTATATGTACCCCAGACACTAAAATAGCTGAAACTGGCCACTCACAGTATGTCATTCAGTGTTATCGAGACCAGTAGTTTAGACATAAACCTGTTGACACACACACACACACACACACACACACACACACACACACACACACACACACACACACACACAGCTGGTAAGGGATAATCCTTCAGCGTTCTCAGACACACACTGAGCTTGTTGACAGATATGAGGGATTATTATTTTGTGCAGCGTGTGCACATTAGGATTTGATATTGACGCTAAGCTCTTAAAATCCCCTGAACAACCGATTTAAAACACTCACACACAGTTCTAGCCTTATTAATATGGCGCTGATTTACGAGGTATTAAACTGTAACTGTTATAAACACTGATGTGGTGTTTATATAGTGGAGATCAGTTGAAGTATAATTTCTGCACACTTGCTTGTCTTTTTTTCCAGAAATATTGTAATGTATAGTCTTTAAAATATGAATTTTAGTAATGGCTATACCATGCTTATTGAACGAAAACCCTTTATTTTGTTTAACAGAAAGTGATCAAAACTAGAGAACAGCAATGGTCGTTGCTTGAAGAAATGCATGTTTCTGAAGTAGCTTCTGATAAACATTTGCATCCATAACATATATCCGGATAACTCCTGCTGCAGAAAACATCCCTCCGATACGTCCTGCTCCACTGACTATTTTATGCATCTTGTGTTCAGGCTATGTTTACACTAATTTATTTTTGTTTTAAAATGGTATTTTAGAAATGAAAACACTCCTTATCCAGATTTGCTTTTCTGTCCACTCTGCACAGCCTAAAACAAAGGACACATTACTATTTTGCATATGTGAGAAGCTTGATGAATCATGAAACATTACATAAAAGTCCAGAAGACCAGTCAGAAAGCGATTGTACCTCCATTTTAATACAAACACTAGGGTTTCCAAATAAAAACGGGGTCTTTGCTTTTTTTAAATGCTCAGTTTTCTCAGATGCTGGATAAGGGGCCATTCACACACAATGTGTTTTTCCTTTCCAACATGCTACTATTCTATTGTTTTTCAATGTAAACAAGCTCTGGATGGACGTGTTTGACTGATACGCTTGCGTCTCGCATCTTTCAAAGCGTTGAGCATGAGAACGATCTGTGTGTGTGTCAATTTGAAATATCTTCAACTTTCATACGCATTACAGCACATCACTGTGAGGTCCAAAAGCAGTGGACCAATCAGAAAACCTTGGCAACCATTGCAAGCTTGTGTTTATAGTGGAAAGTTGCATGACAACTTTTATTTGCAGTTATATCATGGCAAATGAGGCACTCATTGTAGCTGTATCCAGATATTCTTATTTATATGATGTATCTTCAAGTTGTTTTCATAACATATTATTTTCTTATTTCTAATGGGACCATTATTGTCATTATTGCATCACATTCATAATATCACGTCATGTGGAGCTGTCAAGCATTTTTAGAAGCAAAGATGCATTTAGTGTGAATAAGCCCTTAGTGTGGACACCAGGCATAACTGTAACAAAACTTGTTCTAATTAGAAAATGCACTGGTGTTTTTGGCACCTCAGTGTTTTTCCAGTTTGTTGACAATTAACAAAATGTTTCCGATTGAACTATATCCATTTCCTGTAACACTTGATTTCATTATTAAAGTGAACTTCAGAACAGTTTTTTCATCCACAAAACCTGTTCTTCAGCAAAGTTCAGTCTTGTTTTTTTATTCTTTCTGTTTGTGAGAAGTTTGGTCAGTGCAGAATGGCTTTATGTCCAAGTTAATTTAAACAACTGAAAATGCATGTCAGAGCAGATCTTGACCGCTGTTGAGCAATTGCGGCTGCAGTGTTGAACTGATTACCCATTTAGATTCTCTACATTATTCTGTCCTCTCATGCATTTGTCTTTCATAGACAACCAGTGTTTTTGTGACATTGTATTTTTGTAGGTGCAATAATGTAGAAATCACATAATTTTAAATCAAGATCTCTTGCTATGGCCGAAAGGGTCATTCTTTGATGACCAATAACTGTGAGGAATCCTATATTTTAAACTGTAGCTGGGTTTCCATCCAACATGAATTGAATCTTTTCAAAGTTAGGAAAAATAAGAGAAAATATAAATCCCAAATGTCAATTAGGTGAAAAGTGCATTGAGCGGCTGGCTATAATATTGGTAACCTAGTGACCAACAGTAAAGAAGAAAAACATAATGGAGTAATGTGAGTGTAATGTTCGCTATGCCAGTCAGTGTTTGTTTGAAAAATGCATTTCCATCTTCCATGATTAGAATTAACCCTTTTGTCAAAACAATTTTTTTGCAAATTAAGCGATTTTCATCACCTGTTTCTCACGCAATAGTTGAGGAGAGGGTGATGGAAACCCAACTAGCTTACTTTTTCAAGTTTCAGGTTTTTTGATACTGCTAAAAAAAACTGAAACTTGAAAAAGTAAGCTAGCTGGGTGTAAAACAATTCTTGCTGACTTAACTTTTTAAGTTGAATCAATTAAACCTTTCTGGTCATCTCAACATACGTCAATCAACCTGACTAAAAACATTAAGTCAATCTTTATATAACTTAAATTTAGCTGAAACCTGACTAACTTATTAAAATAGGTTAAAGCAACATAAAAAAAATTGTTGTCTAGACTTTTTGTCATTACATTTTTTACAGTACAAAATATGGCCTTTTTGCCAGTAGAACTTCAAATAGGACTAAGCAGTGACCTTGAAATTCAAGAACTTGTAGGTTGTTCTCTTGTGTTCATTTGTGTGTGTATACTGATGAATGTGTTGATATGTTTTTTGTCTATAAAGAGAGAACCGTGCCTCATAAACTCTTCACACCGCTGCTATCTGGGGTTGTGTCCACTTCTGTTTTGCTTAGCTTCATTCTGGTGGTTCTGCTTTACAAATACATGCAGGTACTAAACCATCATTCACATATTTAGAAGCACCATAGCAATACGTTCTGGTTTAACTTATTTAGCTTGTATTTTCTCCTTGTGATTTTAGAAGCCTAAATATGAAATCCACTGGAAGGTGATTGACAGTTTTGATGGCAACAATTATACCTACATAGACCCAACGCAGCTCCCTTATGACCCAAAATGGGAGTTTCCACGGGAAAGACTGCGCTTTGGTAAAGTTATATACACAAATAAATGTCATGATTATACAGCAACTCATTATACTACAACAAACAATATTTTAATACAATACATTTACATAGTTTGGCATCAGTACATTTTTTTTAAAGAAATTAAGACTTGTATTAAGCAAAGAGGCATTAGTTTGATCAAACTAAACTTCTGTTTTTGAAATTACAATGAATCTACACATTCTGGGTAAAAAAAAGTCACAAAAGAATGGTACGATTTTAAAATAAGGTTTCATTAGTTATTGTTAGTTATTGTATTACTGACGCAAACAAACAATGAACAATACATTTATTGTTGTCTATATTCATCTTTGTTATTATCAATTTCTGAAAATGAAATCGTGATGGTTTGTGTTATAATTCAGTGCATTAAGTAACATGTACAACTTTACCTTGTGTGTTGCATTAATAAATAAACTGTGATTAATAAATGCTGCACAAGTATTGCTCATTGTTTGTTCATGCTAACAGAACCTTATTGTAAAGTGTTACACAATAATCTATGAAAGTTCAGTACTGGTATAATACAAAAAACTTAACCCAAGCCATTTTTATATTTTATTATTATTATTAATATTATTTTATATATATTATTTGTTTTACCATTTTAAGCTCCAAACCTTTGAACATTATAAGTACTTAACTTAAAAAACCTTTCAATAAAAAAGATTAAAGAAATACAATTAAAGTATAAAATTATTTATTTTATAGAATAATTTATTATAGAATATAACATTTGTATTGAATTAATTAATATTAGAATAAACATCTTGTACAGTTTTTAATCATATTAATGTTAAGTAAAAGCAAGATGTTTGGTTTTTTGTATCAATGAAGGTAAAATCCTTGGCTCTGGAGCGTTTGGTAAAGTGGTGGCAGCTACTGCATATGGACTTTGCTCAGCCGACACAGTGACCACTGTTGCTGTAAAAATGCTAAAACGTGAGTATTTATACATGACTTAACATGTGAAGTATGTCTATTCAATAAATCACTAGTTGCTAGAAAATATCCTTTTTATGCTTCTTTGAATATTACATTTCATGCACTGTATAATCTGACCAATCAGCTTTCCTAAGGAGACAGTTAGAAAGCCTTCGTTTTTTTATTAATCATTTGAGAGTCGTGCATGTAAACCAATTGTAGAAGACAAATAGAACAACCTTTAAATAGCATAATGAGGCACTTTAATGTTGTTTAGGAACCTTTAAAGGCATGATAGATGTACTGTAATGTTGTTTTGTGTGGCTCTAATTTTTTTATTACATTTTTTCTTTCAAAGCGAGTGCGCACTCCACTGAGAAAGAGGCTCTAATGTCGGAGTTAAAAGTCCTGAGTTACATCGGTAACCATATAAACATCGTCAACTTGCTTGGCGCCTGTACAGTAGGAGGTATGTACTTAATACTTTACTTTCAAACAATGGTGATATATAAGTTATAATAAGATGTAGTAGTGTGCAAAAGTTGACCACCAGCTCTGGTATTTTTTAAATGTTTCAATCACATATTTATGTTTTGCTCCCTTAATTAAAAGACAAAAATAAAGTAATAGAAATGTACAAACTTTTAAAAAAGTAAAAAAAAATAAAACATGTTTATTGTTACACTTGTTGGCACAAATAACATGGTCCTGAAATGTATCAAGCTTTTCTAAAGGCATCCTTGAGTTGAGCTTTAGAATTAGGCTTTTTTAAATGAATAAATAAGTAAATAAACGTATTTTATTTGTTTATTCCCTCTGCCTTAGAGATCCTATATTGCCACTATAAAATTCATGTCTGTAGACTATGGGCTCTATTTTAACAATCTAAGCGCAAAGTCTAAAGCACATGGTGCAAAAGCATTAAGGCCGTGTCCAAATGCACTTTTGCTATTATAAGGATGGAAAAATACAGTTAGCGCCGAGGTGCATGGTTTGACAGGGTTGTGCTCATTCTCCTAATGGGTGTGTTTTGAGCAAAACATGCATTAAACCAATCAGTCTTATCTCCCATTCCCTTTAAGATTCAGATGTGTCGTGCCATGGCACATTTGCTATTTACATGGCGTTCAAAAAAAAGTCCAAAGTCGTAAGTGGAAAAACTGAATGGACAAACTGAACGCTTCACTAGCGAGAAAACTGTTTAACAGACTATCTGTTTGAAGATAAAGGACGAGCCTCCTCCATTGGGCCTCTTTACTTTCTCTTTACTTTTACTCTTTACTTTACTTCTTTACGTTCGTGGATAAGGAAACGGTGTTGTACGCACTCCGCTGAAGATATCCATTAGTCTACATATTAAATTGTGTTTGTTAAACGCAAATATTTGTTTCAAAACTATTTCTAAATTCAGTTTTAATTTCCTGCTAGTGTATAGATGAACAATAATAACGAATTGTCGTAAAAAAACTGAGTTATGTTCAAACACACGTCCTATTCTTATGCCCCGTATAGTGATGCATACATCTCCAAAACCCGACAGATGGACAAATCTAAACTTGTACATACTTATACAAATATGAATATAATAAATATTACTGCTAATAATAATAACATTTTAATAAAAATGCAAATTGTCATGAATAAACTAAAACAATCTTATTATGATCACCAAGGATCTAGCGGCTGCAGATTGCTAATGGACTACAAATCCGTAATTTATGGACTGTAAGACCCAGTCATGCACCACACACACACAACCTGTTCCTGATTATGACTGATACACAGCTGGAGGGTTGTCATAGACTGATTACATTGACTATATATACACCTCTCAAACACACACATTGCTGAGTCTTGTTAAATTGTTTGTGAACATTACGACGAATTTCCCTTGCCTTGCCTTCCGTGTCTGACCTTTGCTTTGTTTTGTTTATTCCTGTATGCTGCCTGCCTTTTGACCATCTGCCTGCTTATTAACTATGATTCTGGATTGCCTGTTTACATCTGTTTCTCTTTGTGTTGACCATTGCTTACCTGACCATCTCTGTATAATAAACCCTGCGTTTAGATTCTCAACCCTGTTGCCAGCGTCACTTACAAATCTATGTAGGAAATAATAGTTTTTGTAACATTTGAATTCTTTATTTTCTTTTATTTGTAAAGACATTTGTGTATTGCTGTACATAGTGTGTGTATTAAGCGTTTGTACCTGCATAAGCTGGAGTTTAGACCAACTTTCACTTGGTCAATAGCATGGTCTATTTCAGTTTCTGTAAAAAAACAAAATAAAAATAAAAACATGCCAACAATGCACCTTAACACACCTCCTTTATAGACCGGCACACACATGAGTTGATACAGTGACACAAAGTGTGGTTTATTTATAAACTACTTTCGAGAGAATCACGTGCTTATGATTGAACACAGCTGGTACCCCAATAACTCCGCATATTGCACCAATCAGATAAATACTGACACACTATAAATTACCAGAGCTTTCTACTCCAGTCATCATCGTTTTGAAGAATCCCCCCTTCCACCCCTACTCCTCCCCTTCTCCGATAGGGCGCCACGGTGGCTGAGTGGGTAGCATTGTTGCCTCACAGCAAGAACGCCGCTGGTTTGGCCCTCTCCGGGCCAGTGGGTGTTTCTATGCGGAGTTTGCATGTCCTCCCCGTGTTTCGCTTGGGTTTTCCCTGGGTCCTCCGGTCTCCTTCCACCGTTCAAAGTCATGCAACTTAGGTAAATTGACTACTTAAAAATAGCATCCTAAGTCAACTCTTAGTCAAATATATCAGCAGTTCACAGTAGGGCAGTTCTCGAGACCCACCTGAGCTCCAACTCTTCTCTCACCCTCCAAACAGGAGGGATCCTCGGGCTCAAGGATATTTTGGGCTCAGGGCTCTCTCCTGGTACAGCATGCCAAACACTCTTTATTATCAGTCATCAGCTAAGTGTGAACTCTTGAAAGGATCTGCTATTTAAACAACGTGGCGCAAAACGTAAAAATTAGGGTTGCGCTGGTCTGAATATAGCAACAAATTTTGCCAAACATGCCTTGCGTCTTATTGCACCAGGTGTATGGTAGGGCCCTGAAACTATCAGTATTTTATTAGCTTTGTTTCTCTCCAAATATGATTTCACTATTCAGGTGGAAACTAATAAATAATTTATATATGATTATTATATCATTGCTAAAACAACAAATCTAGTGGTGGACTTCAACTTTTGCACAATATTGTATTTATTTTTTTGCCCTCAACTCATTCCTGTCGCATAATACTATCTTTATTTTGGTTGAAACACATTTGGAGCTGCACTTTTTTAAACAATGAAGGTGATATTAGATTTACTTGTCAGTAGTATTCAACAATTTATTATCTATTCTTCAAAGAAACCTATTGTATAAGCTTTTTATAGAATTAAATAGCTTTGCATGTATGCTATTGTATTTGTGTCATTTTGGAGCCTAAAATATAAATGAGTTCTTGAATGGGAAAGAGCGGCTCAATTTATCTACCTTAAAAGTTTTTTTCAGGTTCTTTTATCTGGCGAATGTGTTTCTTTTTATGTTTCGCAGAATAAATGTATATTTAAGATGTTATGAGGTTGTAAAATTTAAATTTTTTTTTTTTTGGGACAGGAAACTCGATAGTCTTAATGCATTTTCCCCCCCAACAGGTCCCACTCTAGTGATCACAGAATACTGTTGCTATGGCGACCTGCTAAACTTCCTAAGAAGAAAACGGGATGCTTTCTTCAGTTCCAAAACAGGCGATGGATATTACAAAAATCTGCTCAGCCAAACACAACCCTCAATGTAAGATTGCGTGTGAGAAATAAGGTGCAGCATTAATGAGCGTATAGCCGTCCTTTGTTGGGTGTTGTAATGTAATCCAACATCTATTATCTGCATGTGTGCGCACACAGAGAGGGCACCGATAATGGTTACATGCCCATGAGGTCATATCAGAAGAGATCAAATCAGACAGGTAGACACATCCCACGAATAACACAAGCAAAAATGCATACAATTCATCACCAACTTTCATCATTGATTCATTTTCTTTCTGTATCATCTGTCATTCAGAATGGTGTGATGACAAAGATGATCTATCTTTGGATACCGAAGATCTGCTCAGCTTCTCGTATCAAGTGGCTAAAGGCATGGACTTCCTCACATCCAAAAATGTAAGTGTGTATTTCTTTTAATCACCTCTCAGGTTTCAGTGAGCGTTGAATGTGGAGTCCTTGAAATGTCAGCTCATTCTCAAATTTAACAGAGGCTAGCGAATATGTTTTTTGACTGATACATTAATGTGTCTCCTTATGTTTATAGTGCATTCATAGGGATCTGGCTGCCAGGAATGTTTTACTCACTCAGGGTCGGGTAGCGAAGATATGTGATTTCGGTTTGGCACGTGACATCACAAGAGATTCCAACTACGTCCTGAGAGGAAATGTGAGGAAGTGCTATATATGCTTTACCACCGTCACACATACTGTCAGGCTTTATTAATATCCAGCATAAACAGCTTTTCATTTTAGATTGTACACTATATGGACTAAGTCAGTATTTAAGACTGTATTTGGAGATTCCATCTTTGATTTCTGATTTGCTGTGCATTTTTTTAAGCTGTACTTGTTTTGCACTGCTCTTACAGTTGCCTTCCACTTCTTTATTATGATTTTTTTATTCTGAAGTCATGTAGTTAAAAACTGCCTAGCAATCTTTCAAAACACCCTAGAAATACCTTAGCTAACGCCTAGCAGCCACTCAGAACACCTTAGCAACCGCCTAGCAACACCCTAGAAACCAGTTAGCAAACACTTAAAACACCCTAGCAACCACCATATCAAACACCTAAAAATGACCTCACACAACCTTAAAAAAACACCTAGCAACACCTTAGCAATTACATAGCAACCACCTAGCAACATCTTAGCATCCCTTAAGGCTGATTTACCCTTCTGCGTCAAGCGCACTCGTATGCTCTGGGGCAGTCTTTGCGTGGTCGCATAGCCCTTGTCGTGGCTGATGCTGACGCGCACCTTTCAAAAAATGTTGCTACACGTCGCAAGCAAGCTCTGTGATTGGTTGGCTTGGTAGCTGTTACCAGTGCGGGCAACATTATAAAGCTGCGGGCTCGGAGACCCAAATGCACACTTAGACCTGCTCGCTCAGACTGCTAGACCTGCACTTCCACACCTATCGTTTTCTCAGACAGTGCCACCTGCTGTTTAAAAGATTGACTAACCTGAATTCAGCTACTTATAAATTACTTAAACTATTTTTCTGCTATAAAAGTTTTGACTATGATTAATTACATTATTATATAAAATATTAAACATACTAGATTAGACTATTAATACTAGACTATTAATTGTATTTGTAAATGGATATTGTTCAGTTACTTTAATTCATTCATTTATTCATTTTCTTTTCGGCTTAGTCCCTTTATTGATCTGGGGTCGCCGCAGCGGAACGAACCGCCAACTTATCCAGCACATGTTTTACGCAGCGGATGCCCTTCCAGCTGCAACCCATCTCTGGGAAACATTTATACACACTCATTCACACTCATACACTACGGATAATTTAGCCTACCCAATTCACCTGAACTGCATGTCTTTGGACTATGAGGGAAACCAGAGAACCCGGAGGATACTCATCCGAACGCACATACAATAAATTATAGTACTCTGTGTAATTTTCTCACAACAAGCTTTATTTTTGTGTACTTTTTCTTGAGGTCCTACAAGTCAAGCTGTAAACAATGCAGAATTTTTTTTTTGAAAAATAATAGTTGGAAATACACAAGTCACAAGCAAATTATTTTTGCTTTAACCTAAGAGAGCTCATATTGTAAATTATATGCAGACTAACTGATATTTTGATTTCCAAAAAACTTATATGTAATCATTACAGAACTTATTAACAATTGTTGAAGTGTTATTGTGTTACTGTTACTATCTTTGGTAGCACCTTGAGATAGATAATACAGTAATACATACAATAGACCCACATAGCACTAAAATATGTTACAAATAATAATTGCGTTATATATTATACATTGTATTTTAACATTTTTACTTTTAATTACTTTTAATTTTACTTTTTTCAGGAATCTCTTCAATAAAATCAATAACCTTACTCGCGTGTCTGATGTTGCTACTTGCTAAAATGTGCCGATTCACCCAATCGAACAGCAGGTGGCACTGTCTGAGAAAACGATAGGTCTGGAAGTGCAGGTCTGAGCGTGCAGTTAGGTCTCCGGGCCTGCAGCTTCACCTTACTCAGTTCGGGTGACTCTGGGAGCCGTGCGAGCCCGAGGGAGCAAGTGTTTACAAGTGTCGAGTCCTGTGAAGTAGAGCTAGATGGAAACATTACCTTATGATTAAGGCGTAATCTCAATTCTACTTTTCTACCCCTTCCCCTTAGCCCTTGAAACAGAGTGTGAAGGCGAAGGGCTTCAAAATTTACAGCACTACAACACTTGCACACGTCATTATGTCATTGTGATCTCTTACTTCATGTGAGATTGATAATGGGGACTGCTGTAATTATTGCAGTTGCGTTTTTTAATAATAATATATGTAAACACAGGAATTAGACTTTTCTGACAGGGTATTTGAGTGTCATTTTAATTCATAGACTAAAAATCAGAAACTGAATAACACTGACTTTCATTAAATAAAACAAAACAATTCTACTGCCTATAAATATCATGGCTGATAGTGTATTTTCTAACTTACTAAAGCATTGGTCAATATCACAAGTACTGTGTTTCTTTTCTAGGCACGTCTGCCAGTGAAATGGATGTCCCCGGAAAGCTTGTTTGCTTGTGTGTACACTTTTGAGAGTGACGTCTGGTCCTACGGCATCTTACTATGGGAGATCTTCTCTCTGGGTCTGTATATGAGCTCATAATATGCGTATGAAATATCACTCGCACCAAGAATACAGCTAACAGACTGTTAGTGAATCATTGCAGCTCTCATTAGGTGAAAATCTGCCTGCAGGTAACACACCATATCCGGGGATTCCAGTTGGATCCACATTCTATAAGATGATACAAGATGGATACAGAATGAGTGAGCCTGAGTTCGCTCCAAGTGAAATGTAAGATCTTGTCAACTTTAATATTACTATTGTGTACGCTTCTGATTTGGTCAGTCAAAATGTGATTATTAGTGTGTGTTGTTATCTATGATCTATGGTTTTCTTTGGTATTACTTTGCATTGCAATGCGTATGCCAAAAAACAAAAGCAACATGGTTTGCAAAGCAAAAATGCTAATGTTTTCTGACAACACGACAACTTGTTTTATTACAACTTGGATTATTACATCTTTTGAGGCGGTGGAGCAAAACAGGAAGCTGTCTTGCTTGGCTTTATTTTTTCTGCTGTCTCCGCTGGTCTCAACATTCAATGTAGCTTCAAGCAGATTTGTAAAAACTGCATTTCATGTTATTTTGTTTTGCCATTCACCATGAATCCCTACTGGAGTCACACACAGAATAACATAACAGTTTTCTAAAATACATTTTTAAACATTAATGACATTGCTGATATTTTACTATAATTACTGTAGTTTTCAGATTTGCACGATCCATTTATCAAAGATGAAAACAGCTGCGTATGTTTTAGCAAGCAATTCTATTCTATGAGCATTTCTGTGAACAAAATATATATAAATAGGTTAGTTAGTATGCTGGATTTGATTATTGATGATTTGTGATGATGCAGGATTGTTATGTTCTTCAAAACTCATTCAGCTGTTGTCATAGCATCAGGTGGGCATGCCCAAACCTGCTACGGGGCAGCTTATTTCTTATAAACATAATTAGATTGTGTCATTAGCAAAGGTAATACAAACATATGTACCAACTGCTAATATTTAATTACTAGAGTACTATATTAAATTAGGGGAAATCATTGCAATAATTGTGAAATCATATATTTTTTTAATCAGAATTTTAACGATTTCAAAATAAACACTCTGAAATAAAGGTACAAAATTTCCAAGGGAGTGTGCAATTTCAAAGGATTCAATAAGAACATTGTGAGTGTTGAGAACATTTTCTGTAATATTGTGCAATGTATGATAATAGACATGGCCAATATTCTTATTATTAAATTATTTGTTGTGATGAAACAATTATACAATTTACAGGAGTCATGCAAAACCACATTATCAGCTAATTATTGTTTGATTTGACAGTAAGATGCAGACTCTTCTTTAATAACAAGATGCTTTTTGATGCAAAAATATTTTAAATGGCCAGTTATTACACCACGGATTAGGACAATTGAATACTATCACATAGAAAAACAAAATAAATTGCTAAATACTACACTCATCATTCATTCATTTTCTTGTCGGCTTGGTCCCTTTATTAATCCGGGGTTGCCACAGCGGAATGAACCGCCAACTTATCCAGCAAGTTTTTATGCAGCGGATGCCCTTCCAGCCGCAACCCATCTCTGGGAAATAAATACTACACTCTTGGAAGATAAAACTGCAAAGTCCATCTAATGTAAAGTATTGTAGAAAGTTAATGAGTATCATTTAACAAACCATTTCTTTTACCAGGAATTTTGAATTGATTATTAATCACCAGCCAATGGCAGAATTGATGATCATGATTATGAGGATTGATATATTTGTTCTTCAAAATAAACGCAAGCACACACACACACACACACACACACACACACACACACACACACACACACACACACACACACACACACACACACACACACACACACACACACACACACACAACAATCTACTTATTTAAAATAAGCTGAATTAACACAATTATTGAGATTTCATTGGGACAACTTAATTTTATATGTTCAACCCACATAAATTTGTTCAATGTGTTAACAATCGATTTGTGTTGGCACAACATCAATTAATTTTGTGATGACATAATGACATCATCTGATTGTTGTTCAATTACCAGATGTGTGAGCAAAACACAAAAAAAAATTGTATGAAATGAAACAGTTTGTTAAATATGTTTTAATATGATAGGCAAAAGCTTTTCACATTTGTTGTGGGTGGGTACAGGCATTACACTATCATGTGTCAATTTATTTAGTTTGACCTTTAGAGCAGAATTTCTTTGGGATAGTGTAAGTTTCTTAACTCTGCGGCATAACTCTGCGGCATAACTGGTTATAGTTATTTAACTATTTAAATAATTTTTACATCAAAAAAGCTTTTTGATATTTGAGAAATGACTGCATCTCTTGCCTATGTTGCCGTGCACATAATTCATCAATTATTCTTTGACACTCTCAGAAACTGTAATAAACTGGGGTGGTACCTTTTCAAAATATGCATTTGTATCTAAAAAGTCCATATTGGTTTCTTTAAAATATTAGTACCACTCTTGTCACAGATTTTTAACCTCTTGTTTTTTTTTTTTTTTTTTTTTGAGCATGTGTTTGTGCGCATGGAAATGTATTATCTTCTCTCCCTGATAAATTTGATCTAATCCGTGTCCCGAAACACACACCCTCTCCCGCTTTCAATGCTCCTTCTAACAGAGGGAGCGATTTGTTTGTGAATGAATCTCCATTATTAACGAGTCGTTCACTTAGCCAACAATAATACAAGTTTCCAGCACCGCAGCATCTTGTTGTCATATTTCCTTTACATTGTTTGCTTATTTTATGTAACAAAACTAGTATAAGCCTAGTATTTAGTGCAGGCGGGTGTTACTTTCCTTATGATATAAAAAACAAAATCTTACCTATGAAATATTCTGCCTTCGTGCTTTGTTTTCTTTGTTTGCTTGTACTACATCCTTTCACCATGCAAAAGTCCAGCATCTTCAGATTAGCTTTAGTCTTTACTAGTGCGGTTGAATGACATTTGTCGTGGAAGCACTGTGCGGCAATGCTATTGACGCATGCTCATGGGTCTGTATGCGATATCCAGTGTATATATCCAGGCCCATAGCCAGGGGGTTTCGAGTGGTTCGAAAGACCCACCCCTCAATGAAAGTCCAGAATTTGTCCCATACATGAGCTCATTTGTCTTATTTTGACTGCTATGCCATCATAAATAGTGAAATTAATCCACTGAAAGAGGCTTTAGGACCAAGCAAAACCGTATATTAAAATTTATTAAAACTAATTTGTCAATTTTTTTTTCCATGAATTTGCAATCAAATCAAATGTATTTTTTATAAGAGGCTAGAAAAATTGTGAAGCTCTTTTATTATCACCATGTTTTAATTTTTTATTATTCAAATTCTGACTGAGGACAGTTGAATGTTCTGGACAGTTTGTAGGCTACAGGCTACAATAGGCTACAGTTTTTTTAATTTAAAACTTTAACAGATTTATTTTTTTTTAAATGATTTATGATGTAATAAATTTTTATTTTAAAAATAAGTATTTATTCCTTTTTTTTTATTCTAAATCTTTAGGAAATATTCTGGTACATTAAAATTGTCATTATGATGATGATGTAACAAGCAATTCCAGCTAAAAATAGTGCTTAAAATGTCACTAAAATGCCGTATTTAAATGTGCAAATGAGGTGAATAACTGCAAAAAGGTCCACATTTTGAGAAAAAAGAACCACCCCTTATACCAGGCTGGCTGAGGGCCTGATATCTATGATATGAAATGATCTCACTTTTGGTTTGAGCTGTCAGACCTGTTATCATGACAACAACTCCTGGATGAGTTTTGAAAAACAAAACTATCATGAATTACGTCAAATCAATAATAATCAAATTCACATACAAAGAACAAACCCCAGAGTTTTACCAACAACACAACCACCTACAAAAACAACAACATAGGCATCTTCATGCAAAAAAAAAAACGACCTGACATTGTGATTTGGTAAATTGCAACTTGCCATGCTCATAAATACAAACCTCCCAGAATACCGCTTGCATCTGATGTGCATGCTAATGAGTCTCATGTGCTTACATTTCCAGTTACGAGGTGATGAGATGGTGCTGGAGTGCCGACCCTCTAAAAAGACCACCTTTCAAGAAGCTGGTGGAAAGAACCGAGCTCCTGCTGTCGGAAACCACCAAACATGTATGTTTTGACTCAAGTCAGCAACAGCAAAGCAATGCTTGCCCTGATGCAACTCCTCCAGTTAAGTGTGCGACTGTATCTTGCAGGATTACTTGAATCTCAGCACCAGTGGCAGCTGCGAGGCGTTTGTTCCTCCAGGCTTGCAGAGGCCACAAAGGCTGAGCTCAGTGGGCAGCTCAACAGCCTCCACTCAACCCCTGCTGCAGGCTACAAATGATGTTTTTCTGGAACATCAGAGCATATAAATAACGTCCCCATCACCATTGTCTCAATAGGTTTGACCTAAAAGCCTTATCTTCCCGTTTTTCCTTTTACCTTTAATCGTGGCATTTAAGGGCATCTAGTAAAATGACCTGCCCTCTGTTTGGCTCAATGCAACTCCATTAGCCTTGTCTTCGAAAGATATTTTCCAAATACTGGAGACGCAGCATGTCCAGCCATGTAACTCTTAATGTATTTTTCTAAATGCAGCTGTTTTATTGTATCGATCGGCAGTATTTTGAGTGCACGGCCAGGCAAGCGTTTAGATGTAGAACCTAATGTTACCTCACCAGATAAATGACCAGCTCTATTGATGACATCATCACGTAGCGAGTGACTCTCTGATGTGATATCATGCTGTGTTTTTTTTTTTTTTGTGTGACTGGGTGAACACGATTGCACGATTGACTGAACTGTAAGGTAGGTCACTGGTAAAGATGTTAAACCCAAGGTGAGTCTTGTTTCAAGCACCTAATATTACCAAATGGAGGTTTTCATTCATACGTTCTACTCTTTTCAGCACGTGATAGAACAGGTTACTTATTCATCATGTATCGTATGCTCATCTGAACTGTAAGTTGGACTTACTGGTGTCATTTTCATATTTATTAATGATGAATCAGGGGGTAGGGGTGTGTGATGTTGACATTTGGTTCTCCCAATAATATCTTGTATTATTGTGCATATGACACTAAAGTCACCAATAGACGGACATTATTGACCATGTTTACATGGACATTAGTAATCGAAGTATTTGCTTAAATCTGATTAAGACAATAACATGATTAAGGTGTTTACATGAGTTGCTTTTTGAATGTTCCTTTCATGATCCAATTTGACATGTTATAACACATAGTTTGATTAACGTCATTACTATTTATGTATCCTCTGGAGGTCCATGTAGTTTCTGGCGTTTCATTTTTCATTTTTTGACTTTAACTCACTTTCATTCAGGAATATTTCATTCATGCCCCCCATGACAAACTCAGGTATTGGTTGCGAGTTCGAGTTAACAGGTTATATACAAAACTTCTTGAGTTGAATTTAATACCTTCAAAAAATGTACTACCAGCACGACTTGCACAATCTGCAACTGTAGTGGCATATTGCAGATAACATGCATTTAAGTTTAAGTAAAGCAGAGGGATTAATCAAGGTATTACAGTGGGCCTTTGTCCATAGTTTTTAATCAATGTCATATATGTCAATAGTCGCTCTTCTAAGAACAGTTCGGTACGGTTACAGTTGTTTTTCTACTGAGCCAGGAACGGCGTGGCACGATTACAAACCGTTCTCGGCCCGGAATTCTTGGCACAGTTAGAAAACCGTGCTGAAATGTGCCGATACATTCCATGTGTCAGGGCTGGAAATTTACTTTTTTTACTTGGTAGCACCGGTGCTGCCAACTTAAAATATTTAGAAGCACCAGAAAAAATGTCATTTACCTTTTACAACCCCGCGGACACCCTAATTAAGGATTGTTGTTTTAATGGTATTTGATACCGCACACCGAATGGAAGAAAAAACCTCCACATTTTTATAGTGTATGTGGTCTTTTTCTGACATAACAGGAGTCACAGCCGTGTCAGTATGGAATATCCTGTCACAAAATGCGGCGAAAATTCCTACACGATGGTAATAGTTTGATTAAGGTGTTTACATGCACTTCAATAATGCGACTAAAATTAATCTAATTTCTAATTAGTTCGATTATGACCTTAATCGGATTAAATTAATCATAAATCACTGTTTACATGGTGGACGCTTAAACAGAATATTGTCTGAATCGTATTAAAATTGTATTATTAGTGTCCATGTAAATTTACCGTCTTATTGAGCGATTCCTGGAATTATGTATTCAAACGATTTGTTCAAAACAGCCAATTCATTTAAAAACAGATTAGCTGCCTTTATGGATGGACTATTGGATCGCCAAAACGGCTGATTCATTTAAAGCTAGCAGCTATATTTTTGAGTCAAAACTCAAATGATTTTAGCTGGTTCGTTTAAAAACTAAAGTAACTGTCTTTATAAATGGATCACTAAATTATTAAATTATATTTGATCTGTTCAAAATGTCTGCTTCATTTTTAAATGAAGTGACTGTTTGTATGGGGAACCCTCAAACCATTACTCAAATTATTTGTTCTGAATTACAGATTAATTTAGAAATGAAGCAACAGCGTTTTCAGATCAATCCTTAAATCACTGACTCAAATAATTTATTCAAAACAGCTGATTATTTTTTTCAAAATTGACTGGACGACTGAAAGTCACTTTTTTTAATGGGTCACAGACTCAAATCAAATTATTTCAGTTGATTCTTTAGGAAACAAAGTGACTGCAATCATTGAATGAAAAGATTTCAAAACCGCAGATTTGTTTAGAAACTAAGCTGTCTATGGATTAATTTAAAAACAAAGGTACTGTTTGTATAGATGTATCACCGAGTTATGATTTGTTCTGGCTGCATATCGGCACTGGTGGGCGGAGTGCAGTGATGATATAAAGCCATATTGGACTGCTACGAGTGTGATATTGTGTTTATACAACAGCATAATCTTGTATATAAAAAGGAGATCAAACACGGAGAGTCTAAAAACCCTTTTGTTCGAGGAACTACTTCCACCATTCGTTCACTTCTGCAGCTGATGTCAGAACAGCAGAAACCGTTGCAAATTCATCATCATCACTTTGGAATGATTCTCTAGCGTAATATCTAAGGTGATGACAAAACAGGTAATTTTGCTCACATTTAAAATTATAAGGCTGAACATCATGAAATGCCATCAGTATTTCTCTGTTGCAACCAGGATATTACAATAATTAGCCCTGAAAAAGCCAAAGCAAACACTACATGATTACTATGTTGTAAATACAGCACTACAACATACAAAAGAGACAGATCGACTTAGAATGTCATTTACCTGCTTTATAATGATTTGATTAGATGTATTTAAAAATTACAATGAGTTTTTCCCCTGTTAAGGGCTTATTATGCGCTCTCTGTCACCATCTTGTGGCGGAACATCAACCATCTTTGCTCTGCTCAGTATGACAGGCTGATGGATGCCGACGCGCTGTATCTCAGAATTTATAAATATTTTAAAATAGGCATTATGCTTATGAATAAACTGCACAGTTGCAATCTAAACAACTACACCCTCACCTAAAAAACACTCAAAAGTACATTATGTTGTCCAACAGCTGCAATATCTGTCAAACTGTAGTTTATCGATCTGCTGTCACTCTGTGTGGGCGGAGTAATACAGAAGGGTGAGGAGGCTGTAGGAATGCTGTTATTGCAGAATATCACATGGCTATATTCGAGAACCAGACAGAACTGTTGTATGTATGCATGCATGTGTGTATACACACACAAACACACACAACCCATACAATAAGAATTTGTACTTAAATTACTTGAATCATAGGAAACTTCTCACTGCATTCTAATAATCTTAATCACACAGTAAGAAAACTTGCTGTTCAAAGTAATGAATAGCATTAGCTGAAACAAAAACAATATATTGCACACCCCTGCACCTGGGTTGTTTACATTGTTTCTTGCCAGATTTTTGGAGTTTGGAATTGAAGATTTGAAGTGATGATTATGTGTATATAAGGAGTTGCTGTGTAAAAAAAGGGTTTTAAAACAAAGCCTATATGGATTGTACATTGTTTGTTGTAATAACTGAGATTCATACATTGATATTGGCAATCTCCAGCTACAGTACCTGGAGGAGACTGTAAATGTCCATTCCTGAAGCATGCTCAAAAAGAGGCCCATCAAATACTTGCTTGATGTCAACTACTATATTTAACTAGTTAAATATTCCAAGATTTATGCTAGTTATTGAAAAATGCATTCAGCCTGTACTATTTTCCAAGGATGGGATGTTAGCCTCACAAAGATTCAAAATGTTTTTGGATGTTGACTGACAAATAATTTGAACTGCTATGAGATTCGACTGTAATGTAAATATTTGATGTGTGAACTATTTTTTCAATCCGTAGAGTGTTATGTCAGAAAAAAGGGCCAGGAGGGAATGATGTGTAAATTGTTTTTTACAGAATAAAGTAAATATGAATATAGAAAGAAGTCTTTTTTAAGAATTGTGCAGAAAAATTGATATTAATATTTACTGATGTTTACATGATACTCAATTGTACACTGTCTACACAAGAAACACTGTCTCAACCAATGGTGTAAGTGTTGGGTGGGACTATTTGTGTCTGACCAATCACAGACACCGAGAGACAACAAACAGACATTTAAACAACAAAAAGTAGACATTTCCTATAGAATGTGAATAACATTGTTTGCTTTATTGCAAGATTGAATATCCTGGAGGGAAAAGTGGCCGGTTTTTGCTGAACTGACAGGACAGTTTCTGTATATTCATTATCACATTGAAAATAATACAACTTGTGAGGTTTTGTAGCAACATTTTTTTCCCGAAGTGCACTGCAATCCAGAAATCACAAAATCATCAAAAGGTAGGGTGTAATACCGTAAGACTTATTCACATTTAAGATTATTTATTCATTATTAACTCAACTGATTTTCAAAATTTGAGCTACAACCAGCCGCCATCATATAGTGAAATCCCACATTCATTTTGGTTGCATACACAATTACAAGTGTAAAAAAAAGACATACAGTTGAAGTCAGAATTATTAGCCCCCCCTGTTTATTTTTTCCCCCAATTTCTGTTTAATGGAGAAAATATTTTTTTCAACACATTTCTAAACATAATAGTTTTAATAACTCATTTCTAATAACTGAATTCTTTTAGCTTTGTCTTGATGGCAGTAAATAATATTTGACTAGATATTTTTCAAGACACTTCTATACAGCTTATTACAGCTTAAGTGACATTTAAAGGCTTAACTAAGTTAATTAGGTTAACTAGGCAGGTTAGGGTAATTAGGCAAGTTATTGAATAACAATGTTTTTTTTTTATGTAGACTAAGCTATTTTTTTATCCGATAAAGGGGCTAATAATTTTGTTCCTAAAATGGTGTTTAAAAAATTATTTTATTTTAGCCGAAATAAAACAAATAAGACTTTCTCCAGAAGACAAAACATTATCAGACATTCTCTGAAAATGTCCTTGCTCTGTTAAACAGCATTTGGGAAATATTTAAAAAAGGAAAAAAAAAATTCAAAGGGGGGCTAATTATTCTGACTTTTTTAATTTAACTGTTTTAATATTTTGGATACATAAATGTTTTAAAGATCAGCCATTTAAACTTTTTATACACCATTTCAACCTGTCAACATCTTTTTTTGTGTGGGGGAGGGAGGGCAAAACGAACCAAATTTATGATTGTACACACTATGAAACACATCGGTTTCCAACATTAACTACTAATACATTTGGGTGGGGTTTCAGTGCACAACAAAAACGTACAAAAACGCAAACACAACTATGAAAGAGAATTTGCTAGATTAGTGAAAACATGTATCTACTTAACGGGCATCTCCACTTTAGTCCAAATCTATTTCGCTTTACCGCCTTTAAACAGTGCTACCGGTCTATACACACAGCAAAACTGTTGAACACAGAAGTGAGTCTTTTGGCATATGAAAATAAAATAGCTTTGAATACTTCTTATATAAAACCATTTCTGAGGTATATAGCTAACAAGCCAATGGGGAAACATCTAGAATGCGGAGATACTGCAACGCAAGAACTGATTGGTCATCGCTGGGGTTTTAAACGCACAGTAACAACCCGCAGAGCGATACTGGAAGAGTTACATACTGTTATTGATAGAATAACCTGCACTTGAAATTCTCTCTCTCATACACACACAAACACACACACACACACACACAAAGACAACTCTTAACTTTTAAGACTCTACAGCTGCACGATAACCCTGCTTCAGTTAGACTTTGGAAATAAAAGTAGGACAACATACTTGTTACTCTACAGAAAATGGGATTTAAAGTTCCTACTTGGGACCGTCCTCGGTCAGACGTATAGAAACGCTTTGCCTTGGATGTGTGGCTTATTGCATAGCGCATAAGAACAAGGATTCGAAAGCTTATTCGTGGCTCACACAAACTAACTTAAAAGACCATTAGGTCACATTTACTAGAAGGATGGACTCTTATTTTAGTGTGTCGAAACACATTAAGTGCTATAAAGTAATGGGGAAAGGTGCACAAAACTTTTTAGCAGACTACCAAGACGCGGCTAAAAAGCTAAATGAACATTCAACACAAACTGGAAGCCGTTTTTCTTAATTTTGGCACTTAAAATTGGTCAAATTTTATTATTGTGCATCAAAAGCTTAAGTTATTTAGAAATAAAATTAATTTAGTTTTTTTTTGTACACCAGAGACTTGGGGTTTACCAATTTCCAAACAAAATATAGCTAAAATAAACCTAGTGCCTCAAAAGCTACGAGAATTCCTAGTCATATTTGAAAAGACTACAGTAAGGGAGAAGTTAAAAAGAAAAAAAGCTTCAACTATACGCATAATATAAAAACGTTAAAACATAATACTTAAAAATGGAAGTACAAATGAAAGTTTACACTTCATGCAGCTTATAAAATATTCAATAGTTTGCTTTGTTCCTTTTACGGTTGTGTATTTACATGGTATGGTACACAAGACTGTACAGACAGACTCAGTTCTTTAGGCTGTTTACAGCGAAAGACTGAGAAAAGATTGAGAGTTTGTGTTTGGCAAAGACCATGCAAAAGGCTAGCAATGCTATGCGCACTGTTGTTGAAATAAATAATGAGTTTGGCAACCACCTGTCGGTCGGGTGAAGCGTTTCCGCACGGTTGCCACAGTGTCCATCTGGCGGTGTTGTGTTCCACGCAGCTGCCACGTTGAGGGAGTTCCTTTTCTGAAAAATGCTGCCCTTTTTATAGTAAGAGCTTTTGGATTATTACAGCACCAATAAAGAGACGATGATTGGCCAATCACGTTACTGAGACTGGGCACTAGCGCTGTCCGTCTGATGAGAGGAGGCCGTTTGTTTCTGGGGTTTCTGAGTGTGTGGTTTCAGTTGCTGCTGTTGTTGTTGTTGTTGTGATGGAGTAAATGTGCTCTGCTGCTGAATAGGGAAAGCCTGCAGGATCAGTTGTGTGGGCTGGTTGCCATGGAGAAGACGTGTGCTCTGACAAAAACAAGAGAAAAAAACTATTTTTTTTTTTTTGTTTTTTTCCCCCAAAATATCTGTTATTTTCAGTCTAGATTTAAATTTTTAGGGAGATAAAAGTGGTTTTGCATTGTTTCCAGGTTTAGAAGTATAAAGACTTCCAAAACGGTGCTATATTGTAAGCACACATGCATATGTGACAGGTTTTCCTCTCTTAACAAAATAAAAATACAACTACCATGCAGAAAAAAACAGCTTAAACCAGCCTAGGCTTTTAGCTGGTCAACCAGCCTGGTTTTAGAGGGGTTTTGGCCATTTCCAGTCTGGTTTCCAGCCCTTTACAGCTTGGTCTTGGCTGGTCAGGCTGGAAAAGGACCAGCTAAAATCAGCTTGATCAACCTGGTTTAAGCTGGACATAGGTGGCTTTGGCTGGGCTCCCAGCCTGGCTATGCTGGTTTTAGCTGGTCATCTCCCAGCCTGATCAGCTAAGACCTGGCTGAAAATGGCTGAAAACCAGCCTGGAATGGCCAAACCCACTCTAAAACCAGGCTGGTCAACCAGCTAAAACCAGAAAACCAGCCTAGGCTAGTTTAAGCAGTTTTTTCATCAGGGTAAAATGACTGTGGTGAAATACCAACATTTAAAGGGCCATGAAACCCCCTCGTTTCAGCAGGGTGTTTTCACACCTCTACTTTGGAAAAAGTCAGAAAAGTGGGCGTGCCCAGCTCTGTTTAGGGGGGAGTGTCGGAGGAAGAAAAGAGGCTTGGTATGGGAGTGTCTATTTGGGCGCGCTGAATTTCAGAGTCAAAACACACAACCACAGCGGACAATGTGACTGTGTTTACATGGACATCAGTAGTCGAATTATTTGCCAAATTATTAAATGGTGGACTTTAACTGCAGTTTGGCTCTTTCATTCAGGGAATTCATTAATGTCCCTCCCGACAAACGTGATATTTGATTCGAGGCGCTGCTCTAAGCGTGTATTTTTCATGCATTGTTTGATACCGCACGGCGAATGAGAGAAAAAAAAAACTCAGCATTTCCCAGAAACTTAGATACACACGGCAGGTAGCGTCAGAAAGCCGCGTGTGTTATTCCGGTCACAAAATCCAACACGAGGTTATAGTTTGGTTGTAACTGTTAGTGCTAACTATTGCACTAGTTTGTTTGATATGAATAAAATATGAACTGAATAAACAAAGAGCACTGGTCGCTCACTTACCAAATCTGTAGAGACAGGACAATCACCAGCAACTAGAGCCGCTTCTTTATTTAGAGGAGACTACAAGCGAATCCAGATCTTAGCATTTGCAGATGAGAACAGCTCTCAGGTAAACAATAACCCTCCTTAGACACATAAGTTATTGTTGTCGCGCGTCGCGTACACTGTTAATCCACGCGTGAGTCTGAGCTCTCACAGAGAGAAAATGAAAACGAAACTTAACTGCAGCAAACTATAAAAGCAACACTTCACGCTTGTTTTGCCAACACAACGTGGCGTCTCTGCCGTCTACACTCTGACAGTAATGAATATTAATGAAGTTGCACAATAGAGCGCGCTGATTGGTTTGAACCAAGCCTTACTCATGCATTAATGCATCACACTGTAAGACGTAATAAGACTCACTCTGGCACAGATGCCCAGTCTGCACGCTGGAATACACGCTATTATATCATGGCCGTGACGCAGCTTCAAAAATTCGTTTCAAACCGGAAGTACGAATTTGCTTGAAATAACGCAAAAACAACCAATTTACACTTTTTAGTGAAATATAGGTGTCCTAATAGTGTTTTTAGCAGTGTGGGACACATATACCACTGTCAACAGCTCAAAAAATGTGTCTTGGTGTTTCGTGACCCTTTAAAGTCTGCAAGAATTGAAAGTTCCTGAGATTTTTCAACTGAAACGGAATATTTAGTAGCGGATGGAGCTTTGTTTTCGTGCATCATTTCTGCATCATCCCCATATTACAGCTAAAACTGTCAGTCAACAGAGAGTGACCGCTACTCCAAATATAAAAGAAAATGGTCAGATTTTAATTAATAAAAGTATATTTTACAAAATAAACCAAAAGGTCTTCAATACATTTTATATTTTAATCATTTTTTAAAGGTCCTCGTGAAATGCTTTAAAATGTACATATTTTTGATGTAATCTCAACTGAAACATGAAGACAAGTTGGAAAGAGTGGTAAATCGTTGATCCAGTATAAACTAAAGTAGAAAAGAGGAAACTCTGGGTGTTTGTATCTTCTAAACGCAAATTTAGTAACAGTTTTGGAGCCCACTAGCTGATAGATATTGTTAACTAACATAATGATACTAACATCTAAAAATTTGTTTTTGCCTAATTTACTTTTTTAAACGTCTTGGGACCTTTAAGGCTTATAAACTACCTTTGCAGATGGCATCATGTACTTATTAGTTGTGTATTTGTGTGCCCAAATGTTGTGTTTATATGAGTATCCTAAAGTTATTTGGCTGGTCTACAACTGCATCTACTACAAGACTTTTTCTTATGAACGGACAAAACCAAAACTTGATTTAGAGCTGTGGGCCAAAGCTAAATATATTAAACTGTTTCAAAGTTTCCATGCTTAATTTCCTAATTTATTTCAAAATAAATTGTAAATATTGCTCTAATAATACTAACTATTGAATTATATATTATTTACTCTGCATAACCAACCTATTATAATTAAAACATACAAATTCCCTAAAAGTTTCAACCTATTACACAAGTCAATCTGCACCTGCCTTTGCCTTGATTTGCTTACAACCACATTCTGAATTGTGGTCTCTCCATTGAGTAACATTGTTTATTTAAAAAAAACTAATCTGATGAATTTACAACATTTAATTACCCTGAGCTTTTTTTGTAGCCTAACAATGAATCAAACAAATGAAAGGTTAATTAAATTAGAAATTATAATGTGTATTAAAGGCATTGCTCACAACATTCTCCCTCTCTTCTCAGATGGAATGGCAGGCCAAATCAAAGTTTACCATGGGACAACTTTGGCCCGCAAGCCCTAGTTTGGGCATCTCTGGTCCACTATTTCCAGGAGAAATTCAAAGCGCAGATCCATATATACTCTAATGAATATTAATGTAGTGCTAGGCAGGAGACGATAACCATTTTCAAGGTATACCACAGTTTGGAAAAGTCAAGGCAATTCTGCTATACCATTTTTAAGATATGTGTAAGTGTTTTTTTGTTGTTGTTTTTTTAGGACAACATTATCTCCAGCAGGAAGGATATTCAAAGATGTCTTTTTAAATTGTAAAGAAATCGTTTTTTGAAATTAATAAAGACAGCAAAAGTCAACGATTGATTTAAATTATTCAGCCTGACATGTTTACGGTATCAAAATATTTGAAATGTTTCTTTAAATATATTGTGTTCAAATGGAAAAAAAAGCTTTTGTTTTTTACTTAGACATTTAAAAAGAACATATTTTAGAGCAGTGATCACAATACCATCAAACCGTGATATTTTTATCCAAGGTTATCATACTGTCAGAATCTTATACCAGCCCATGCCTACCCAGTGCATCCGTCTGCTACGCTCAAAACTGAGATGTGGCAAATATAAAAACGAGTGCTAAGAACAGGGTGTTACTGTTGGAAGTGATGCACGTGTCACTGAACCCCACTACAGTGTGAACTTTGTTACCTGTAAAAAGGGTTGCTGCTGTTTTGTTGACTGCTGTGTCGCCCCCTGCTGTTGACTCTGTAATGTGGCAGCCTGAGTCTGCTGGTCTGCAGGCACGGTGGGCTGCGTCTGCAGTGTTATGGTCTGCGTCTGACCCTGTTGTTGTGTAAACGGACTGTACGCGGTCACCACCTGACCCATAAACATCGACGTGGGCACCATGACTGCGCCACACGCCATTGGAGCCGTCACAATCTTTGTGACCAACTGCTGCCCGGCTGGAAACCTGAGATAGGCAAGACATTGAGACAAACAAATTATTTTAAGAACATGCTTTGTATGAGGTGTCCAGGGGAAAGCATAAGTGTAGAAAATGCACTGTACTGGACCTGTTAATTGCATTGGCTTGACTGATTTTCGGTGCCAGATTGCTGGGTATCTGCACAACATTGGCATTGGCAGGTTGGCTGATCATCATGGTATTATACACAGGACCGCACTGAGATAAAGAATGAGAGATGAGAACAATGATATCATGCATTTAGATGATGTCACCATATGAAGATGAACAAGAGATTATGTCATTGTTAATGGGGCTTTTATTTCCATATTACAAATAGAGTGGAAACATTAAATCTTCAATTCTAAATTATAGTATTAAGACAGTGGTTCTCAAACTTTTTTCATCAAGCACCATCTCGGAAAAAAAATTGTCTCTCTATGTACCACCATAAAGACCAGTATTGAAATACAGTAGTGGAGTAGGCCTAATTAAGCAGCTACAACTCTGCACCATTCCAATAAGAGTCAGATTAATTTCTATTACAGTTCGATAATTGCTCGATAATATTTAAGCACTATGCGTAATGTTGCACAAGCATTTTGCAGCCTGCCCTTCCAACTGCTGCACGCCGTACAAGTTTACAGCCATACAGTGTTAGTTGCACTGAAAGGAGTAAGAAAGAAATAAGGTAAAAAAGGTCAGAGTCACAGACATTGTTGACAAGAAACGTCACTAGACTTCATGAGCTACTTAGTTTTTCGCTATCCGACACAAAACAGAGCAACGTGCACCGCAAACTGTGCAGACGACTCCTGTCATCAAAAGCAGGCAACACCACGACCTGTTTCACCATGTAAAACAAGACCACCTTTATAAAGATGCTGAGAAATTACAGACATAAACAAGTGTTGGCAAACCAGCGCAGCTACTCAGCAGAGTCTCATGTCATCATTTTCGAAAGCCGTGCCTTACGAGAAAAAACCTCCCGAAAAGACAGACGAAATATATGACAGACGACACAATCTCAAACACATCTCAATGAACACTTGATGCTTGCTGTAAACTACAGCCTGCATCATTTAAGGGTATCTTTTAAGACAATAATAAGATCTTTTGATGTCAAGCTTATGTTTCCTTTTTAATAATAAAATATTAGTTTTGAAATCTGTAATACCACTATTGTCTCTCATCTACGGTAAAATAACCAGCCTTTATATAATTAAAGGACATAATCACAGAGAAGAAATCAGATGCTCAAGACATAATCTTTAAAATAATGACATATTAAAAATGCAGCAAATATATGACAGACGTTTACAACAGCAACAGCTTTTTTTTCCATGGAGCGAAGCATCATCCACCCACAGTTGTTTAAGGCGGACACGAACTAAATAAATATAAACATATTTCCTTGAAAATGTATCTTGTTGTAACGAATTTCGTTTTGTGTAATGTGTAACTTAATTTTGATGTATATTTTGTTGGTCAGTTATCTACAGCAAAAACAAGAGGAACGAATGACATCTGAGGTGAAGCGCTTTAACACAAGCCTGCTATATGCTTTAGCGCCAAAACAATCCATCAAACTATTTTCACGGTTTCATTTTAATTCATTAACTAAGCGCTTGTAAAAGATGTAAAATGTTAAAGATTTAACATTTATCGTGATAAATATCGATATCGGCTGATATGATAAAAATTATCGTGATAATTTTTTTTGCCATATCGCCCAGCTCTAGTATTAACATAGTAGCCTATTCATAAAAACCCTGAAATTGACCTCTTAAATACAGGCTATTTGTCATCACATTCATATATAAATCATTTCTGATAAATTTTGAAATTTGTATTTTGAATATAGAAATTAGATCTGCTTATTGCGCGTCCTTTACAGTGCATGTGTCAGAAAGTGATTACACACATAAATACACTGTTTGACCAATTCATATGAGATTTATTCATTCACACGCGCAATTCTGTTATTTGAGATCTCATCTTAAGTGGACCATGGAGTTTGTGTTAATTATCACATTTGTGATAATTATTTTATTTCCCAGAGATGGGTTGCGGCTGAAAGGGCATCCGCTGCAAAAAATGTGCTGGATAAGTTGGCGGTTCATTCCGCTGTGGCGACCCCAGATTAATAAAGGGACTAAGCTGGCAAGAAAATATTAATTTTACCAATGATGCAGCATGGGGAGAGTTTGTAGCAACTGAAATGCCAACACAACAGCATTGGTCTACAAAAGCGCTTCTCTAGGGAGTATCTGCTCCACAGGTACTTGCATTGTTTAGTATTCCTCCATGTGCCACTATAAGGAAGCCGGCGTACCACTTAGACAACCACTTTAATAAGAGATTTTATGAATTTATTAATTTTTTTTCAGGTGGCAAGTAAAAAGTTTAATCTGTATATACATATAATATAAAATTAATATAATATATAATATAATAATAATATATATTTAATGTAACATACAATATATATAATATAATATATAATAATATGATATGATAAATGGTATATAATATGATATGAAATTATATAATATGATATAATATATTTTTACAAGATTTGATGAACAAAAGTTTGATTTACAGTATCCTGCTGAAATAAACTACAAAAATATATAATTTGTTTTAAATACAGCTAATTTGACCTAACTTTGTACAAAAAAAACAAAAGAACTGCAGTTAAATGTCTGATTTTGTCAAGCACTCCTTATCAAATTTAAATTGTACCAAAAACCAGGACAAAAACTGCAACGCTACCTAAAGCTCACCTGAGTTACAGAAGAGCTCTGTAGATTCTGCTGCAGGGATCGAGGAGTCTGTTGCTGTGGAAGTGTTTGCTGCTGTGGAGCAGATCCGCTGTGCGCTGTACTTGTCACATTTTGGCCCTGTATCGCTACAACGCTAGCCTGAGTCCCAATGCCTAAAATGTTGTTCTGTGCTCCTCCAACTTGTGGCAACAGCACACTAGGCCCACCACCCTGAGCCGGCTGCTGCAGGATCATCTGAAAGACACCATTTCAAGCATACGCTTAATATATGTAGACAGCATTACAAAACTTTACAAAGATTTAAGGACTTTTTAAAGCGCCATTAATTTTAAATCAAGCGCCTTTGTGATTCATACCCCAGCATATGTAGTCTCAAGAAAGTCTCTTACTGTACTTAACATTTCACCTACATTAAAAAAGTCAAGAACTTTTCATAAGTTGACCATTTTAAAAGTCATATTCAGAGAACTTTCATCGAATTTGTTGAATTCAATACTGGTGATATTCAATGCAGTTCTTTAAAAGAGTGGTCCAGAGTGTTTTTTTAAGACTTGGTTGTGTTTATAAGATGCAAAGCAATGTGTGCTCATGCTTTATTTGTAGAAAATTATGTAGAAAATCATCATAGTAAAATGATTTTTAAAATATTGATATAAAGTGCATTATTTGTCAGTGTTATTGTACAAGATTTCAAATGTAAGAGTTTTAATTTAATAATTTCTTTTTCGCTCTGTTTTTGACAACTGAGTACAATTGTTGAAATAAAACCGTAAAGTGTGAGATTGAGCTGATGCTACAGTAGCACTGCACACACAAACTCAAAACACCAGCAAAGAAACTTGACACACTGGAACACAGAAACCCCTGTTAATTATAAATGCCTACTAGCGTTTCAGGAAGTTTGATTGCACAGCTACAAAGACAGATTGCATGAACATAAATGCTCACAACAGTGTCATTAACATGAACCGTGAGGTACTGCGATAACTCAATGCAGAAGCATAAATTGAGCCAAACATGCATGTGTGTGTGTGTGTGTGTGTGTGTGTGTACCTGAGGTCCCTGTACTCTCTGCAGCTGCTCATGAATCTGTCTCAGCTCCTCCTGCTGCTTTTGAATGTTGGCTTCTATCATGCGTGTTCTTTGCTCCAGCTGCTCCTTCAGGTGCTGCATCGCATTCAGCTGTGCTGAGAACTACATAAAAAAAAGTACACAGAAACATAATGGTTATTAGGAAATGGAAGAGGACTGCACAATATATTGTCCGAGCATCGATTTCGCAATGTGTGTATCCGCAATAGGTTTAGATTATCTATTAAAGATTAAAAGATAAAGACATTATTAAATATTAATATTTTTAAAAAGAATTTCTACAATGATGACTATGTAATCTTATGTTTGATTGTTTAATTTCTATACCTAAATACTCTTAGACTCTCCAGAAAACCATAAAGCACTGCTTATTTCACTTTATCTTTGAGCTGTTGTGTTTATATAAACTTCTAATTTATTATCATTTATGCAAATGCACTGCATAAAAAAAAGATTGGATCATCCCAATCTATCTACATAAATTAACACTTTCCAAATAGAGCTATTCAATTCATCTGGTGAATTCGTATTCATATTGCAGAAAAAATATTTTGCAGGCCTAAAGTGATATTTCAATCATCCAGAAAAAAAAATCTAACATCCTCTACTTCGACTCTATCAGACTCTTTAAAAAAAAGATTAAATAAAAAAAATCTTACCCATACCTCAGGAATGGTATTAGCGGTTTTAAAACCCTGACTTTTCTAAACCGTGGTATACCTTGAAATCCCATGTATCATTCCATGCCTACTCAGGTCTCAAATCATTTGAGACGCTTTAATGTAAAATGATTAAAAAAAAATTGTTTTTTTTTTAACTTCCGCATTTGTGAATTACATTTTGTATTGTAAAAAAAAGACTTTCAGCATGTAATGTCTATGATTGAAAGCTACAAGCTACTGTATTATTTACATAAATATTATTTAACTCTTTATTGGGCGAAGAACCATGTATGGTAACTTTACAAATCTGGTAAGAAGACTCCAGTAAAACTCCACAGTTTTGCCAATGAGAATTTCAGTGACTGCCTGTAAAAGGTTAATATATTATTTGTATGGTAACACTTTACATTAAGGTTGTATTAGTTAATGTGTTTGCCGACATTAACAAACAAACAATGCATTTATTACAGTATTTGTTCATTTTTGTTATTGTAAGTTAACAGATATAAAGTTGTTCATTATTAGTTGTTGTAAACACACAGTGCTTAAACTATTTTATTATTATTATTATTATTTTATACATTTTTATTGCAATAACAACAAAGCATTTACAATGTATATAAAACAGACATAATATATAGTACAATCCATACAGATATTACTTTTTTTTTTTTTAAATAAGGGAAATATGAATTGCATTTAAAATAGTAAAACATCTGATGCAAGCATTTAAAATTGTTCTGTTTGATTCAGAGAGGAAAAATTATGAACTAAATATTGAATATTTCTGCTTACTGAATCTTTCTGCAGGTTTTACAAAATCAAATTTAGGACTTTAAGACCTTTTTAAGGCCATTATGAATAACATTTAAGACTTATAGAGGACTTTTTTGATATATGATATTATAATTTGTTATTTCTTAGCCACAAATTTAAATAAATTGTCAAAACAACTAGTTGTATGCATACATGTTTTCAACATAACTTTTGTTTTACACAGGGAAATTAAGAAATATTACTGTAAATCATTTTTTTTATTGGTAAATAGAGATTTGTTGGTTTGTTTGGATTGTTGGTGATTGGATGAATGTTGGCCTGATCGGGTAGCTTTACATGGACTTAGGAAAATTAAGACCCATTTACAATTATTTAAGACCTTCAAGACAAAATATCAGAGAGTGTAAGACTTTTTTTAAGTCTAAAATTTAGTTTTTGAAATGTTAAGACTTAAGACCCCGCGGACACCCTGTGTAACTCTGATTAATATGCATAAATAATTAATTTGATTAATATGCATTAATAAGCTTATGCTTCATCCCGCTCCATTTTCGACCATGTTGAAATGTATTTCTTTTTGTTAATGGCATTTTATGTATCATATTTTTGTTTGAAAATAAATAAATCAAATCAATAAAGCAGAGTTAAACTAAAATAGTATAGACCATTTTGAGTGATGTAAACAATAACAATAGTTCCAACGCATTTCATGTTTTACATTTTTAATGTCTAAAGCATCCTAGAATCCAAAAAGAGCCACATATTGATAAATAATGTTATGATAGCGGTTTTAACATTAAGTTTGAATCGCCTTTGGAGTTTGCATGTTCTCCCCGCGTTCGCGTGGGTTTCCTCCGGGTGCTTCGGTTTCCCCCACAGTCCAAAGACATGCGGTACAGGTGAATTGGGTAGGCTAAAAATTGTCTGTAGTGTATGTGTGTGAATGAGCGTTTATGCATGTTTCCCAAAGATGGGTTGCAGCTGGAAGGGCATCCGGTGCGTAAACCATGTGCTGGATAAGTTGGTGGTTCATTCCGCTGTGGCAACCCAAGATTAATAAAGGGACTGAGCCAAAAAGAAAATGAATGAATGAATGATTGAATCGCCTTGTTACAGTTATGAAAGAGTTTGATAACAAGCAAGACATGTTCATGGGCCAATGACATCATCACATTAAAATAGTCTTTAACAAAAGTAAAAAAAGGAGAGGAAAAAAACCTAAAGAGCACATGAAAAGGAAATCAAAATGCAGAATATTAAACAATGCACACATTTTAGAAGGTTTAACTGCTTTATTATTACTAGCCTTTGAAATTGTATTTAAGTATAGTTCAGATTCTTGCTTAAAAACCATGAAATGGGTTTTAGCATTAACTAAAGATTATAAACATGAATTTTGATTTAAATAATGCATTAGTAAAAGTTGAACCACGATTAATACTGAAAAGCTGCACAAGTACTGTTCATTATTAGTTCATGTTAGTAAATACGTTAACCAACATAAATGAATGAAACCTTATTGTAAAGTGTGACTATTTGTAATAACATTATTTGCTTAATACTATTAACTATTTTTTGTTTAAAATCTGGACCAAATAATAGATCAAATAAAATAGTTACAATAATTTTCCTATGATAATGAAATGAATACAGAGAACCATTAAGTCTTAGCAAATAAATCATGAAAAAAACAATAATAAAAGACTCACCAAAGCATTAGGCTGAACCTGCTGTGGTTGTTGAGGTTGTTGTTGTTGATGTTGTGTTTGTTGGCTGATTTGGACTGGAGAGTCAGTCTGAGTGGTGTTCTGGGAACTCATGGACTATCAAAACAAATATGATCCCTGTCATTACTCAGCCGCTCTGAAGCACAATCATTATCAAGAAAAAAGATCTTTAAAAAGTCTTAAACGCTAATGACGATGCAAGTGTCACCTGTGTGCTGACAGAGGAGCGGCGCTGTGATATCATATCCACGGTGGCAGGCCGAGGGGAACTGCTCACATCCATATGCAGCTTTGAAGGTGTTGCTGATAAACAGATAAGAGTTTTTCAATAGGCAAAATATCGAAAAGAAACAACAGAAAAGCAGATTTTTGCTTTTTTTCATTCAGAGCTTACATGTGCAGGTGTTATCAGAGATGGCGGTGTGTGAGGACTTGTGTGAGCTCCTGGAGGAGGTGGAGGGCGAGCGACTGTCACTGAAACGCTCTAGTACCTTCTTCAGACTGTTGTTTAACTGCGTTTCAGAGCCAGATATCTACAGAAAATAATCAATTCATCATATTGTGTAATTTATAAATATATATATATATATACACACACACACACACATACATATATACATACACACACACACAAACTGTTGACAGACAAACAAACAAACAAACCACACCCAAGCGCTGCAAATAAATAAACATTTACAAATGTAAGTTTAAAATAAAAAAATAATCATATATAAAAAATTTAAAAAATAGTCAAAACAAAACAGAAGAAGAAGCCAGAATTCTTTTAAATTAAAAAATTCAGAGTTTATGTAGAACGAACTGGAGAGGTTCCCAAAGTCTCCTGAATTTTTCCTGTTTGTGGTTGAGGTCATAAGTTAATTTTTCTAAAGGAAGAAAGGCTGATAACTGAGAAATTGTACAGACTTTTTAAAGTTTAGTTGAATAAAATCACAGTAAAATAGTAATATAGTAATGTGAAGATAATTATTGCAATTTAAAATGAATGTCTTCTATTTGAATACACTGATTAAATATCATTTATTTCTCTGTAGGCATAGACATTTTCAAAGAGAGCTTTTCAGTGCCACTCAGTCGCTCAGAAATCACTTAATTTGCTAATTTTGGTGCTTAAAACATGATCAATGTTGAAAATAGCAACGTTGCTTTAAAGGAATAGTTCACCCAATCTGTAAATTCTGTCAGCATTTACTCAACTTCCATTTGACACAAACCTGTTTTATTCATGTTGAACATAATGGAAGTTCCCCTTCGGTTGGGGAACTTCAGTGCCATGAATGGGAGGATTCGGATCAGAAGCCGCTTATCTGGAGAGTATTGAACGGGCCAATGAATGAAATTAATTGGCAGCGTAAGCTTGCGCAGGTGTGCGACATCTGCAATCATCTCAGCATATAAGCACACCTGAAGCCAGCAGACGCCATCCTTTTCGCTTCAGATCCTTTCTGAGTGAGTCGATGAGGGTTCCTCTTGCTGATCAGCACTTCAGAGCGAACGAGTGTGTCTCCCGGTCCAGAGTGGGTCTTCGCGGTGGCAGACGGTCGAGCTGGGTTACTCCCTTGCCTGCGGTTCTTTGGGTCCGGTCCTCCAGAGCGGTGCGTATAGTTGCAACTTTCCTAAAAGAGCAACACAGTCGTGCAGCACGTCCTTTTCAGGATGGCGCTCCGACTGTGCGTTTCTGGATGCGGGGGTTTCCTGTCTCCGGATGATGGACACGATCACTGCATTGCATGTTTGGGGGTCCAGCATGTTAATGCGGTGCTCGCGGGCGGTTCATGTCGTCATTGCGATGCCATGACCGTTGCACAGCTAAGATCGCGGCTAACTTTCGCAAGAGAGCGAGCCACCCCAGTTGCCTCCTGTTCTAAAAAAGCAGCGGGCGCTCGGGCAGATCTGAGGGTTTCAGCGGGAGCTAATCCGCCGCCCACGGGCTCGCGGACCTCTCGCTCCTCACGGCGCTCCATCCAAGCTTCGGGTGGTGAGAGTGATCCGTCTAACCAGATGGTAGCTCTCACACTCGCTGACACCGGAGATCAGATGTCCTCCGCGGCATCGGAGGGTGGGCTTTCACTGTCCGACGAAGATCCGGACCCGCTCGCCCCCTCCGGGCAGGTGAGCGCTGTCAAATCGGATCCTGAAGCGGACATGTTAGCCGTGCTTTCCCGGGCTGCTTCGGCCGTGGGGTTGGAGATGGTTTATCCCCCAGCTCCGCGGCCGGACCGACTAGATGGGTGCTACGTAGAGGACCAGAAGGCGAAGCCTTCGAAGCCTCTCGTCCCCTTCTTCCCGGAAGTGCACAGTAGGCTCACGCAGTCCTGGAGGGCACCTTTCTCTGCCCGTGCTGCGAGTGCCTCCGCCCTCACCGCCCTTGACGGCGGAGCTGCCAGGGGGTATGAGGCGATCCCGTCAGTGGAGCGCGCTATCGCGGTCAATCTTTGTCCGCGCGGCGCCTCTACGTGGCGGGGTTTGCCCCGCCTCCCGTCCAAAGCCTGTAGGTTGTCTGCCTCCCTCGGAGCCAGAGCTTATAAGGCTGCGGGCCAGGCTGCTTCTGCTTTGCACGCGATGGCCACCTACCAGCGCTACCAAGCGCAGGCGCTGGCCGAGCTGCACGAGGGCGGGTCCAACCCAAGCTTATTACATGAGCTGCGCACCGCGACCGACTATGCTCTTCGGACTACTAAGTCCGCCGCGTGTGCGCTGGGGAGGACGATGTCCACACTTGTGGTTCAGGAACGCCACCTCTGGCTAAACCTGGCCGATATGCGCGACGTTGACAAAGTTCGCTTTCTTGACTCGCCCATATCCCAGGCTGGCCTGTTCGGCGACACCGTCGGTGAATTCACCCAGGAATTCAAGGCGGTGAAAGAGCAGTCGGATGCGATGGGCAATGTCATCTATCGGCGTGGCCGTAAGCCCGCTCCGCCCGCCGAGCCATCCACCTCCGCTGTTCCTCGCCGAGGGCGCCCGCCAACGAGTGCTGCCCCGCCCCCGCCTGCGCCTCCGGCCAAGCGGGCGCGGCGTTCACCTCGAAAGCAGGCAGCCCCTCCTGCCCAGGGCGCCGTTAAGTCCGGTAAACGGACCGCGAAGCGTCCCTGAGACAGGCCATCCGGAGAAGAGGAAACTTGCTCTTTCCCCGCTGGAGGGCGGGGCCCCGATAACAACGGTACTTTTCAGTGCCACCAAAACATCAGTAAAAGAGCACTTTTTCCCTTCCCCGGATGTGACTGCACGAGTTCTGCCAGTCCGGGACGCGCTGCCTTCCGGCTCGCAGACTCTACGTGCTTCGCCAGTGGCTCACGAGCGCTGGGGGGACGGTCTCCCTTCCCTCAGCCCTCCAGCCCCCTCTCCGGAGTCAGGGTGCGGAGCCAGAGCGAATCGCTCTCCTCCAGCTTTTCCGCGGGACCCTCGTGCTTCCCGGATCAGCACACCCACTCCGCGCTGCCCCACCGCTGGTACGTCAGCGATTGTAGCGATGACTCCATTAGCGAGGGCTCTGCCTGCCTGGTTAGCGCGGGCCAGCCCCTCGCGGTGGCTCATACGCACAATCAGACTCGGTTACGCGATTCAGTTCGCGAAACGGCCCCCCAAGTTTACGGGCGTGTATTTCTCCAGGGTCAACCCCCTGTCCGCCCCTGTCTTGCGAGAGGAGATTGCTGCCCTCCTGGCGAAGGGTGCAATCGAGCCGGTTCCTCCAGCCGAGATGGAGAGTGGGTTTTACAGCCCATACTTCATCGTACCCAAAAAGAGCGGTGGGTCACGGCCAATCCTAGATCTGCGCGTTTTGAACCGCTGTCTGCACAAGCTGCCGTTCAGAATGCTCACGCAGAGGCGCATTCTCCAATGCGTTCGTCCTCGGGATTGGTTTGCAGCCATAGACCTGAAGGACGCGTATTTCCATGTCTCCATTCTTCCACGCCACCGCCAATTTCTGCGGTTTGCGTTCGAGGGTCGAGCGTGGCAGTACAAGGTCCTCCCCTTCGGGCTCTCTCTGTCTCCGCGGGTCTTCACCAAACTCGCGGAGGGTGCCCTAGCGCCCCTTCGGCTCGCGGGCATTCGCATACTCAATTATCTCGACGACTGGCTGATTTTAGCCCACTCGCGGGAGCAATTGATTATGCACAGGGACGAGGTGCTTCGGCATCTCCGCCTACTGGGGCTTCAGGTCAACCGAGAAAAGAGCAAACTCGCCCCCGTGCAGAGGATTTCTTTTCTCGGGATGGAGCTGGACTCGATCACCATGGTAGCGCACCTCTCCGAGGAACGCGCTCGCCTGTTGCTGAACTGTCTGAGGGAGCTCGACAGCAAACTAGTGGTCCCACTGAAGTTCTTTCAGAGGCTCCTGGGGCATATGGCATCCGCAGCCGCCGTCACGCCGCTCGGGTTGCTCCATATGAGACCACTTCAGCACTGGCTTCACGATCGGGTCCCCAGACGCGCATGGCACGCGGGCACACACCGGGTCTCGGTTACTGCGCTGTGTCGCCGCGCCCTCAGCCCTTGGAACGACCCCTCGTTCCTACAGGCCGGTGTGCCTCTAGGACAGGCGTCCAGCCATGTTGTTGTTTCAACAGACGCTTCCAACACGGGTTGGGGGGCCGTGTGTCGCGGGCATGCGGCTGCGGGCCTCTGGAAGGGTGCCCAGCTGCATTGGCATATCAATCGCCTAGAGCTGTTGGCAGTGTTCCTCGCTCTCCACCGCTTTTTACCGGTGCTGGAGCGGCAACACGTGCTGGTCAGGACGGACAGTACGGCGGCGGCGGCGTATATCAACCGCATGGGGGGTATGCGCTCTCGCCGCATGTCTCAGCTCGCCCGCCGTCTGCTCCTCTGGAGTCACCCGCGGCTGAAATCGCTGCGCGCCATTCACGTCCCAGGCACGCTCAATCGTGCAGCCGATGCGCTCTCACGACAGCTGTTACGCCCTGGAGAATGGAGACTCCACCCCGAGTCTGTTCAGCTGATATGGGCGCGATTCGGGGAGGCCCAGATCGATCTGTTTGCTTCCCCCGAGAACGCTCACTGCCAGTTGTTTTTTTCCCTGACCGAGGGCTCTCTCGGCACGGATGCACTGGCCCACAGCTGGCCTCGGGGCATGCGCAAGTATGCGTTTCCCCCAGTGAGCCTGCTCGCGCAGTTTCTGTGCAAGGTCAGGGAGGACGAGGAACAGGTTCTGCTAGTTGCGCCCCTTTGGCCCAACCGGACCTGGATATCAGAGCTCTCACTCCTCGCGACGGCCCTCCCCTGGCGGATCCCTTTGAGAGAGGACCTACTCTCTCAGGGACAGGGCACCATCTGGCACCCTCGCCCCGATCTTTGGAACCTCCACGTGTGGTCCCTAGACGCGAGGAAGACTTAGGTAACCTACCGACTGCGGTGGTTAATACCATCACTCAGGCTAGAGCCCCCTCCACGAGGCGCGCCTACGCCCTGAAGTGGAGTCTATTCACTGAATGGTGCGTCTCTCGCAGAGAAGACCCCCGAAATTGCCAGATTAGTGTTGTGCTCTCTTTCCTTCAAGAGAAGTTGGACAGCAGGCTGTCGCCCTCCACTCTCAAGGTTTACGTGGCCGCCATCTCCGCTTATCATAGCGCGGTAGCTGGCGGCACCGTGGGAAAGCATAACCTGGTCATCCAGTTCCTTAGGGGTGCTAGGCGAATTAATCCATCTCGCCCCCCTCTCATGCCCTCTTGGGATCTCGCCCTCGTTCTCACGAGTCTGCGATCCGATCCCTTTGAGCCACTCAAATCAGTATCTCTAAGATTTCTGTCCCTGAAGACAGCTCTGCTGGTTGCGTTGGCCTCCATCAAGAGGGTCGGGGACCTGGAGGCATTTTCGGTCAGTGACTCGTGCCTGGAATTCGGGCCGGATTACTCTCACGTTATCCTGAGACCCCGCCCCGGTTATGTGCCCAAGGTTCCTACCACCCCCTTTAGAGATCAGGTAGTGAACCTGCAAGCGCTGCCCCCGGAGGAGGCAGACCCAGCCCTTTCTTTACTTTGTCCAGTTCGCGCTCTGCGCATTTATGTGGACCGTACTCAGAATTTTAGATCATCTGAGCAGCTCTTTGTCTGTTATGGCGGTCGGCAGCAGGGAAGTGCCGTATCGAAACAAAGATTATCCCACTGGATTGTGGATGCCATTTCACTCGCTTATTCGAGTCGAGGTCAGCCGTGTCCCCCGGGAGTACGTGCACACTCCACTCGGAGCGTTGCATCCTCTTGGGCGCATGCACGCGGCGCCTCTCTAACAGACATCTGTAGAGCTGCGGGCTGGGCGACACCCAACACATTTGCAAGGTTTTACAATCTGCGAGTGGAGCCGGTTTCCTCAAGGGTATTAGGTAACCCTTTGGTGATTGAGGAGACAACTCGGTAGGGTGTTGAAACACGCTTGCTGCGCCATTCTCCCTAACACGGAGGTACGTGCGCCTTTTTTATCTGTCAGTAAAGTTCCCCGTCAGGTGAGCCCTGCAGATTCCTCCGTGGCCCCCAGCACTGACTCAGCGGAGGAGTCACTTGCTGGCCCACTACGTTGTAGGTCTGCCCGCTGGTCAGCCCGCGTTTTGGGTATAGGTGCCTGCTATGCGTGATCCCCACTAGGCGATCCCATATGCTTATTCCGCCACGGTTAAGTCCCCCCCCTGGGCGGACCCGTGTCTTCCCTCTCCGCTAACCACTCTTTGCTATGCGTACTCCCCCTTTTTAGGGCTAGTCCATAGGTAAATTCTGCCATCTATCCCCCCCTTGGGTAACGGATGGCCTCCGCAGCGTCCTCCCTATCGGGATTGCACGCTTCCCAACGTACTGTCGTATTTCCTAGAATTATCTAGATGCTCACGACTTCCCAAAAAATATATCTAAATCCGTAAAACTTCTGTTGAAGTAGGATAAATTAGGGCCAGGGACACGTTGGAGGACCGCGCCCCCCATGATGTGGGTGCGTCACGCTTGCTTGACTATCTCCTCATCGGGGGTGTTGGTAAGGTGCAGTCATTATGGCGCTTTCCATATTCTCCCATTCATGGCACTGAAGTTCCCCAACCGAAGGGGAACGTTCGAGGTTACAGAAGTAACCCTTCGTTCCCCGAGGAGGGGAACGGAAGTGCCATATTCCGTCGCCATAATGACTGTCCCTTAGCTGTTTGAAAGTCTCTTCAGCTTAAAAGGATGGCGTCTGCTGGCTTCAGGTGTGCTTATATGCTGAGATGATTGCAGATGTCGCACACCTGCGCAAGCTTACGCTGCCAATTAATTTCATTCATTGGCCCGTTCAATACTCTCCAGATAAGCGGCTTCTGATCCGAATCCTCCCATTCATGGCACTTCCGTTCCCCTCCTCGGGGAACGAAGGGTTACTTCTGTAACCTCGAACGTTATTTTGAAACATATTGGAAACCTGTATCCACTGTCTCCTTTTGGATTTGTTTTCCTACTACGAAAGTCAGTGGCTACAGGTTTTAAACATTTTTTGAAATAGCTTCTTTTGTGTTTGAGAGAATAAAACTCAAAGGTTTGGAACCACTCGAGGGTGAGTAAATATGAGTAATATGAGTAAGTCATATTGCATTTTTGGGTGAACTATCCCTTTAGTATTGTAAAGAAAAGCATACAATTTTTCAGGATTTTGTTTCAAAATAAGGCTTGTTTGTTTGTGTTTAAATTTAAATAAACAATAATATTAAACAAATTTATTTTACTATTATGAATGTTTAAATATAGTAGCCAATATTTGAAGTGAATTTAAAAAAAAGTCAAGAATGTGTAAAAAGTTTGATGAAAAGTTTATTCACTTCAAATGTTGATGAGTGTATTTAATATTTTTGTGGAAATCTTGATACATATTTTTAGTATTCGTCAATGACTAAAAGCTAAAAAAAACAAAACAGGATTTACTTTGAAAAAAAAAAAAAAGTTTTAAGTATCACAGTTTTAATATCTTAACTGACAATTCTGTCCGATTTAAGGCATCCTTGCAGAATAATACAAATTTTTAAACAATATTACTGCAAACTTTTAAAGGTTATTTTATATGATAAAGATGTTTTAATAAATGTTTCCAAATGAGACATGCACCAACTTTTATTTATCCAAGGAATCACACACTCAAAATGATTACCAAACCTAGTAATATTCACAACTGTAGTGAGAAACACTTCTGCCATAGATAAGCTATATAAAAGCATGTTCAGCAAATCACATTTATGGGTTATTACAGAGATGTTTCCCATCTCACCTTGTCCGCTGTGAGTTCAGGAGGAGATTCCTCTATTCCCATCTCTCTCCTCCTCTCTGCTCGCACCTCAGCATAACTGAACATAGAAAATACAGCCAATAAGCAAAATAAGGTCACTGTGGTTCTCATTTCTGGTAGTGGTAGTCATCTGTGTGCCTCTGCGTACCTGACAACAGTGTGTGTGCACACAATAAACTCTGGCCTTGAGTTCCACTGGTGGTATGTGATGTAGTAGTTAGTCTGGAGCCAAATCCACTGTTGTCCTTTGGTTAAAAAGCGATAATAGCACGACTTCCCTTTTCCAAACTGCATTACTGCAAGCGGATAAAAATACATATATGAGGCATGTGGTAACTATTGAAAGTTTTTATTTATGTTTGAATTACATTGGCTATAGGCAAAGTCCCTTTAAGGCAAGTCATTTCACTCAGCGCGCATCTCTGAAACGCCTCTTGAGCAGTATGCTCAGGCATTCTGTTTGAATGGGGAAACATCAAATTCTCCAAAAATGGCTTGCCAAGATTACGATTAAATTTTATATTAGGAATCACCAATACATTTAAATAACAACAGTGTCTTTAGTTTCAGTTATAAATGTTTGAATCACACAAAATCTGCAGAAATTTACGTCTGGATCATGCCCCTCCCCTGGAGACTCGTCAGTCTATAACAATCACTAATTGGCACCTGTACTAGAAGGCAGGGCTTCATTCGCCATATGTACCGCTACGATATTCCCCATTCAAAACTATACGAAAGACATGTCTCTCATAGTCTTATGTCTCATAGATAGTCTTTGCTATAGGTGTTTAATATTTGTGATAATTATTTATGACAAATACTGTATATATTATATAAAAGAACTGCAAGTTACTTTCTTCATGAAGCAATCACTCAATCAATTCAAATGGTTCAATCAAAAACAGTTTCAGTCTGAAATGCACAGATGTTCTGCTGTGGCTGTTTGGAACAACTTTCTTTGGTGAAACAGAGAAAAAGGGACAATATTGTGTTAAAAAAAAAAAACTCCATCTACTTTGTTAAGAGGGTTTTTGCAGGTTTCTTCAAATCAAATGTAAGACTTTTTAAGACTCTTTTAAGACCATTATGAATTAAATTTTAGACTTATAAAGCTAAACACTAAGGATCTTTTCTAATGGCCCGGTTACTTCTGTAAAAAGTTTTTGTATTAATGAAATATCATGTAAAACGATGTGTTGCTTTAGTTTTCTTTCCCTGATTAGAGAATTTAACTTGGAGAATTCGCTGTAAAAAGGTCTAATATATAATAATATATATGAAGTTTTTAGGTGGATTATAAGTGACAGATTGGGTAGCTTTACTTGGAAATAGGAAAATTAAGACATTTTTAAAATGATTTAAGATCTACAACACAATATTACTGAATTTTGTTTTTGAAATTTATGACATTTTAAGACCCCGTGGACACCCTTTGTCTATTCAATAAAAATCAACATATTTTCTTATGCTGATTTTTGGCACTTTTGCTTGTGGGTGACTAGGAGAGTTCACCCTAAAATGAAAAATTTGTCTTTATCCACTAACCCTGTACTTGTTCCAAACCTTTAGGAGTTTCTTTCTTCTGTTAAACGCAAAAGAAGTTATTTTGAAAAATGTTTTTTTTTTTTCCTACTATGGACGTCAATGTTTACAAGTTTACAGCTTTCTTCAGAATAACTTCTTTTGTAAAAGATAAAAGGAAACTCATAAAAGTTCAGAACCAACTGAGAGTAAAAAGTGAGTGCATTTTTATTTTTGGGTAAACAATCCTTTTAATTTTTTAATTTCTCAAATGTAAAAAAAACAACTGATTTTATTGCTTCTGCAACTGATAAGGGCTTTCTTATTGCATTCTGTAGCCTAAAAATACATTTTGTAATAAAGAGATACATTATTATATCGAATAAAACCAAATAACCATTGTATACCTCTATTTTTTGTGTTATACTTACAGTGCTCATGGCATTTGGCCAGTGAATGCAGGTCATCTACATGATAATAGTCATAGCCTGATGTTCCCAATACCTCAAACGGCATATAGCCAATGATAGGTGGAGCTCTGTAACACAACACAACAACAAAATTAAGAAATATAAATAATGGTTAAAAAATATGGATGAAATTATACTGTAAGTCTGCAAACCTGTGATCTAATAGAAGGAACTTCCACTCCAGACTGTGTCGAGATGTGAATTCTTCATTGGGCTCCTCCACCATGCACATTTCCTGTACACAATCAATACCAGCACACGTCGATGTCAGTGTTGTTTACACCATTAATGCCTTAAAATACATGCAGAGTGAGTATGTATGTAATGCAAATCTACTTTTGCTATGGATGCTATCGATTTCTTGATTGACTTTCAGCTTACTTTGATGAATTGGGGCTTTGCAAGCCGCACAGTCGCAATAAAACAGAGTTGATCATCGAAGGCTGGCTGCAACGAATGCTGCAGAATTCCCTCAAGGCCATTACGGGTTTTTTGAGGCACTGAGAGAGGAGAGATTTGTGTTAAAGAAACCATTAATCTATACACTGTGATCAATCTAAATCTAGAGAGAAACAAACAGGAAACAAACACTTACTGTTGACAAGTGACTTAAAGTTGCCGATAAACTTAACATATTCATATACAGGCGGTTTCTTGGGATCCACAGAACCTCTGAGCATGTGACAACAAAACTCCATCTGGTTCTTGGCTATAAAAATTAAAACAACAGAAAACATATGATATGGCACATGATAATATACATTTAGATCAGTGTGTTTGTAATATAGCAAACATTTGCACACAGTAGAATTCATTCCCACTCTAAGACAAATGTCAATTCCCTGACTTCTCCATGGCTTTCAATGACAAAAAAGCTGAATTTCCATTACCTACTGTATAATGAATAATACTGAATTAAAAAACAATCAATTGTGTTGCGTAGTCCCTACAGTGATTCTGCAATGACTGAAATCTTATGGAACAAACAATGTAAAATTTAAAAAATGCAGTAGGTGATCTGAGAAAATGTAAGTTATATGCATAATAGCATTGAAAACGTCATGAACTTTCCGCGAATAGATTACCCTAGACAACTTTATAATGGTAAATCATGTGATTCAACAAAACTTTATAGTTTATAATATAACAATTCCAAAAACTTTTTGAAAACGTTTTCAAATCTAGCACATTTTCAGGAATGTAGCAAGCAAAACTTGTCATAATGTACAATATTCTTTGGCTATTTTTGGAAATTCTAACATAAATGAACACCTTTCCGTTAACCCAACAGCAAGCCCTGATGGTTGGCATGATTACAGCTAAGAAAAATGATCTTACTTAATTGGAATTATTCAAAGGCTCCCTATTATCAGAAATGGTTAAACGAGTTGCTTTATGTCAGCGGTTCCCAAAAGGGGGGTCCCGGCCCACAAGAGTGCCTCAGCGAGCTCTGTGGGGAGGGTCGCTTAGTATTTTTAGAGTTTTTTAGCAGTTCATTTTATCCCCTGGCTGACCAAAAGAGTCACAAAAACAACCAAGTCTCACTGATTAGCCTTCAGCAGCTAATAGTAATGACCCAAGCATACTGGACCCAGGTGAGGAAGCTTCAAACGTTTCTGGACACAGCGCTAGCAATACTGGAAACACGAAAAGCAGGAAATACCAAGATAGCTACATGAACTATGATTTTATTCCTTTTTCACGAAGTAAAGTGTCCCTGACCCAGCCACATGCATTTTTTGTCATACTTACTGCAAACTTATATGTGGAGGAGGGCCTTACAATATTTTCCGGGGGAAAAGGGGGTCTCAGGCAAAAAGGTTGTAAACCACTGCTTTGTCATTCAAATGGAAAAACTACATCTTAAAACTTCACAGACAAAAAAAGCTGAAACCACATGACATAGACCAATCTTAAGACACTTGGGGAGACGCAAGCTTGTGCGACAAATCTCGCATGCCGCTGCATTGCAAGTTTAAGCAGAGTGAACTCTGACCTTCAAAATCGCATCACATGAATGCGTGAAAATCAAAATATAACCTCTCTATATAGAAAATTTAAATATAGAGCAATCGCTTGCTTTTTACTGTCTAATCATCTTGTTTAATTTGGCCCCTATTCAGAGCATCGTACATCGAATTTTGTATGCTCATTCTCTAATGACCGTGGTTTTACCCAGAATATAAAAATACAAAAAAATACATTTAGATCGTTTACTTAAATCATTATTAGCGGAACGTGAAGAGACTTCAACCATTTTGTTTCAGCTTAGTTCCTTATTTATTAGGGGTCACCACAGCAGAATGAACTGCCAACTATTTCGCTATATGTTTTTCGCAGCAGATGCCCTTCCAGCTGCAACCAAGTACTGGAAAACACCCATACACGCTCACATTCCCACACACACTACGGCCAATTCACCTATATAGCACGTCTTTGGACTGTGGAGAAACCGGAGTACCCAGAGGAAACCCAGCCAGGATACAAACCAGCAACCGTCTTGCTGTGAGGCGACAGTGCTAACCACTGAGCCACAGACTTTTAACTAGCACAACAAAAAATGGTTCTAGAGTCAATCAGCTATTGCACCTCTAAAGCAGTTTGCAATTTCTTTAAAAGGTCACAGATTTCAGGAAAAACAATGTTGAAATTCCTTTCACACCATCTGCATTGTTTTATGTTAAATAACATTATATTCACATGTAGAAAGCACCCATCCAGTGTGCAATACATCAGGTTGTCATTGGAAGTTTTAAAAATAATTTTTAAAGTTGTATTATTGCAGAGATTTTAAAAGTTTTCTTAATCTGACAATTTAGAGTCATTCTCATATATAATGTATAAAACATGATGCACTAGGCAACTTTAGCTTTATTTAGCCAAGAGGTAAACAATATGTAAAATAATCATCCGAATACATTACTTATTATTTATTCATTCATTTTCTTTTCGGCTTAGTCCCTTTATTAATCTGGGGTCGCCACAGCGGAATGAACCGCCAACTTATCCAGCATATGTTTTACGCAGTGGATGCCCTTCCAGCTGCAACCCATCTCTGGCAAACATCCATACCCACTCATTCACACTTATACGCTACGGACAATTTAGCCTAAATGCACTACCTACTGCGCCACCGCATTGCCCACATTACTAATTACTTATTGTAAAAAAGTACTCATATGGCTGATTACTTTACTTTGAAGTTACTTTTAAAACATATAAAATATACCTATAAAAACACAAAATAAACAGCAGCTCTTTTAGTAATTTAATACTCACTGAAGAACATTACAATAGGCTGATCACAGCAGCTTGACATATTCAAAAGACAAAGAGTTCACCCAAAACTTAAAATTCTCTAATCATTCACTTGTTCCAAACCTGTTTGTCTTTTTTTTTTAACTCAAAAGAAGAAAACTGGATACCTGTAACCATTGACATCCATAGTATGAAAAATCGCTGCAGTGTGTGGGTGTTCTGTGTTTGTCTGAGGTAGCTATTCAACCAAAATGTGTCCATTCCATACAAAGCAAAAAGCTGATCTGTCAGTTCTTGTTGCGTGACTCGTGGTTTTCAACTGGTGCACCTGGAAGATATGTTTTCTGAATACGCATATGCAAGCCCTGCACCTCCATTGGAAACTATATTTCTAACAAACTATATTTGTAACGTAAATAATGGAATTATATTGACTTTAGTACGAGTAATTAAATCCCACCAATTTAAAATGTAGTTTGTTAAATTACTGCATTCCTCAAAAACGCAATTAAAATACAGTAACACGTTGCTGTGGAACACATTACACCAAACTCTGGTCTAAACTGACCGAAATGAACAAAACTTGTTGGCAATCAAACAAGTTTGCACCTGGAAGATATGTTTTCTGAATACGCATATGCAAGCCCTGCGCCTCCATTGGAAACTATATTTCTAACAAACTATATTTGTAACGTAAATAATGGAATTATATTGACTTTAGTACGAGTAATTAAATCCCACCAATTTAAAATGTAGTTTGTTAAATTACTGCATTCCTCAAAAACGCAATTAAAATACAGTAACACGTTGCTGTGGAACACATTACACCAAACTCTGGTTTAAACTGACCGAAATGAACAAAACTTGTTGGCAATCAAAAAAAAATTATAAATACTCATCGCCAGCAAGGAAAAAAAGAAAAAGAAAGGAAAAAAACACACCACAGCTCAACAAATATTTTGTGGGAGATTAGACACTCACACTTGAGGTAATCAGAGTTGAGGTTTTCAATGTCTGGTTGTGAGGAAAGGGCTTTATACACTTCTCCATGATCCACCACTGGAAGAAAGTTTAGAAGGTTCTGATCCATAAGGTCCGACTGAAACAAACACAATTATATACGAGTATATAAATAAAAATGTAACAACTCCAAAACATAAAAGAATCTTTGAATAGACTATAAACAATCTACCAACTAAACACACACACATCCTCTCTCACTTACAGGAAGATGCTCCAGTAAAGAGGTTACGCTTTCTGAGATGTAAATGATATATCCATCTGTCAGCATCACGAGGAAGAATCCATCCAGTGCCTTAAAAACATAAAAACCCATTACTTACTTACTAAAAATAAGATTAAGATGATATATGAAAAAAGAAAAGACATTAAACATGAATGAGAATGCACTCATATTCTATTCATGATAACATCTGTCAAATATTAAGTGAAACACAAACAAAGCAGAGACTCACCTCCAGCATCAGCTGCGAAAACTCCTCATTGCTGAGAAACGGAGGTTTCCAATCCTGCTTGATGTCACTCGATTCCGATTGTGCAGCGTTTTCTGTAAGTGAACACAGACACTTCCTTGTGACCGGCTTTCCTGATCTTTTAATTGCTTACAGAATTTTTTTGCATTTTTATGCACATCAAGCTGCATTTGTGATGGAAAAAAAGAGGTTAAATTATATATTTTTAAGTAATATTGTCCAAATCAATTACTAGATTTCTGTGATGCAAAACCAAATCATTACTCCAGTCATCAGCGTAGCATGATCTTTCAGAAATTACTCTTAGATGCTGATGTGGTGCTCATGAAGCACTTCTCTTGATCAGTTTTGATAACATTTTATAATATTTTTAATAAATCATTTAAACAAATAGTATATAACATTATTAGACGTCACTTTTGATTAGTTGAATGCACATCTGCTGAAATAAATTTTCATTTTTTTTACAAAAATAAAATTGGTACTACTGACCACAACTATATAGTGTCTTAAACAGTTGATATCTCTGAAATCTCTGAATAGAATACTAATATAGCAAAACATCCAACTAGGAATTATGTATTATTATTATTATTATTGTTATATATATATATTTATATATAACAATGAAGAGAACAGTGCTATTGCATTTTAAATAGAGCAGTGGTGCTGGAAACAATGAAGTGCATATTGTTTTCTCACATGACCTTATTACACTGCATATTTAATTAACAACTAAAGTCATCACAGAATTTCAAATAAAAATTTGAAACCATGTTAAAAATCAGTGGTGATATAACTGAATCCAGAATAGAAGGTTAAGCATGTTGCATTGTGTGCAGAGCAATTACTTTTCTACTGCACTCTTTTGACATTTTTGTAGGTCATTCGGGTATTTCATGCATACAGAACATTTGCATAAAGCTCACAACACACATACTGAAGAAACAGCATGAGCGGTGGAAACTGCATTGTAGTAGAATGGCATTATTAATCAAGAATATAGTTACCACTGTGATAAATTAATTGTGAAAAGTGATTAATATCCAGCATTTTGCTTGTAAATTACATGGCAATAGTCTTTTTTTGTTGCAAAAGCAGCAGATTAAAAAAAAAGCAATCACAAACACATTAATGCAATAAATGTAATGACAAAAAATAAATCTGTAAGTATTCTAGATCAGGGGTTCACAAACTTTTCAGCCCGCGACCCCCAAAATAACAATGCCAGTGACTCGCAACCCCCAATATCTTGAGGTGGTTATAAATATATCAGCCTTGCACACAAATGAATAAGCCCAAGTCTACTATAGGCTTGCCACGATAGACGGTGTTGATGGGGTTACTGGTTTTAAGATGCAACACCGGTGACATCACTTCTGCACTGTGACACTGTCCCCACATTTGTTTTTGTTTTTTTAAAGTATTCTTTTATTAAATATTCATTTTAATTAAATAGAAAATATAATTCTAAATAATTTATTTAAGACGAGAGCATGCACTATAATAAAAATCTGAACAATGCTACAATGTGTCATATTTAATTTATCACATGAGGAGAACGAGAGGAGTCGAATTTACAGAAAGAGAATGGCGGACGATTTAGTGTCAAAACGCAATGCAAAAGCGCCTGTTTGGCAATATTTTGGGTTCAAACCAAAGGCAAAACCAGAACCTGAAAACTTTAATGAGGCAATCTGCAAACTTTGCCTGACAAAGGTGGCAGCATCTGGAGGAAACACAACTAATATATACACGGCACCTTCAACGCACCTACTTGATGTTTATGGGTGGGTCGCGGGTAGATAAGATCAAGTCATAAATTTGCAACGCACATTTAAATTCATAATTTAATTTTAAAGAATGCCACTTGTAAACATCCTCCATGTTTAGATGTGGCCTGTATTTATTTTTAATGTACGTGAGTGCCATAAAAAAGGTGTCAGAAAGTTTAACCTGGTGCCATAAAATCAATGTGCTGCATCTGACACTATTGCTGTGTCTTCAATATAATGTAATCACGCAGGGGTCACAAAAAATAAAAAAAAATAATTTTTAATAAATTAAAAAGGTTGATGGCTTTTTATTTGCATGTAGTTTTTTATGTAACTTTTAACTACTATTTTTTCTTCTTCTGTAGGTTATGGATGAAATATGGTAATTCTAATAGCTTAATTAAATGAATTAGATTTTTGGAAAACACCAAGCGACCCCCCCTCCTTATTGTTCAGATGCCCACTTTGGGAACCACTGTTCTAGATGACTGCTGAATTGTGCTATAATACACATTGTGAAACAAAACATAAATGATTTCTTGCCTCACCTTTGTTCTTGCGCAGGTAGTCTATGCTTTTTTGCAAAATCGTAGACTTGTCCATCTTTCGTGTGTTTCCAGGCAGCATGGTCCCAAGTTCTTTAATGAGGACGTTGAACTGGTCCCGCCTTTTCTTCTCCGACTTATTCCTCGAAACTCTGCCATTGAAGATGAACATGAAAACATGCAAATGCATTAAACAAAGACGCAAACGCTTATTCACGAAGAACACAACCTAGCAGTGTTCGCACTTTTTTAATATGAGTTACAGGTTATTTTACAGTGTTCTTAATACAGTATAATTACACATTTAAGCACGGAGTAATATTAACTAACTACTGTATTACCTACTACATGGTTGTTTGTAATTATGAATAATTTATTGTTATTACAATAATAATAAATAAATACATGAAATGTTTAACAAGCATACTGTAAATGTTCTGAATAAAAAGTGTGAAGTATGTAAAGTTTGAATAAATGTAAAGTCTTATTAAATGACCTGTAAACAATTAACAGTAACATTTTACAAAAAGTATTCATTTCCAAACATTAGTTGTGCCTTTAGTTAAGTCAGTAGTGTCCAAACTGAGTGCTGGATGGCTGGTGTCCTGCAAAGTTTAGTTCCATCCCCAATCAGACATACCTGGGCTAGCTAATCAGGCTCTGCTAGGCTTCTAGAAACATGTGTGCAGGTGTTTTGAGGCAAGTTGGAGCTAAAATCAATGCAAACTAGGGATGCACAATATATCGTTTCAGCATCATATGTGCATCTGCAATAGTCACATAACAGTCAAACCAGTATTATAATAGGTCACATTTCAAAACACCAGTAATCATTGCAATGTTTAACCATAAAATTACCAAAACTTTTAGCAATTATATGTTTTTATGGCCTTTGTAAGGACTACAAGTCAGTTTGAAGCATTCAGGCACATTCAGAAATTACGTTTCTAATTTTAACAATACTTTTACAAAATATACAGGACTTCACATTATTTTACATTTGATTATTATATTTGTGTTTCTGATTATTGTTGACTTTATAACAGAATCATAACACACTGTATTTAATTTGCACAGTATAATTGCTCTACTGTATTTATCAATGTTTGTGATTGGTTTATTATAATCTATGCAGATGCCCTACAAAATCATCCCAATGTATGTAAAAGGATAAATTCTTTCCAAACAGACCTATTCATTTTATCTGCTGAAATTACCTCAAAATCGCAATACATATCACAGAAAAATAAAATGACACAATGTCAGCTTTTTCCAATATCGTGCAGCTCTAAAGCAAACTAAAGTTAAATAAAATAATGCATTGATTATTAAGTCATTTATTATATTACATAATTAAAACATATTCATTAAGCTAACAGTTGCATTTTTAATAACTAATGTTAGCAAAGACAAACAAACCCTAACAAATGTATTTTTTTTTTCATTGCTAATTAATGCATTATTAATGTTGACAGTGACCAAGCCTAAGTGTTTCCAATTAAACCTTAGATCCTAAAATAGACAGTAAATAGCTTTTTACATGTTTCATGATGCATATGCTTGCTCCAGTCTGAATCACTTGCTGTGGGTAACATTATGTAATTTTCCCATATAATTTGTAAGGTTTATGAAATAGGTTATATATATAAACAAAAAAAAAACAGTTCAAAGTAAAAAGATGTCAGTGCTTTAGTACTCTACTTACACTCAAATATTAAGTATTATACCAGCTGAGAACCTCAGATCTGTATGTTTATCCTCCTTTTCTATATAATAACTTATAAAACATGATCAAAAGCATTAATTTTACCTACCGTTTCGCCTTATCTTTCTCATCTTCCTCCATGAGCCCATCAAAAATACTGCCATCATCCCTACAGAAAGAAAACATATTATTTTCGGAATGGAAAACATTTTTTGTTCTTACACGTCTTTGAAATGTTTGCATATCCCCACAGAGAGAAACAGAGAGGCTGTGTGAGGCTTAAAATAGATCAAAACCGAAGACGAACCATCAAAGTCATACCAAACATACTGTACTTTTTTGAAAGTAGAAATTGGGTCACTGAAAATGCATGTGTGAGTATAAAAGTAACTACATTTTAATAAGTTCAGTGCAGAGATTTAGACACAAACAAATCATATTTTCTGTAGTGCTACTGAATTATTGATGTCATACACTATTGTCTAAATGTTTGAGGTCCTTATGTATTTTCAGTTTCTTTATTTTAAGGTGTCCTTGTTAAGGCTGATTTATACTTCTGTGTCAAGCGCACATGTATGCTCCAGCACAGCCTAGGCGTGGTTGTAGGTGACGCTTACGTGCACCTCTCAAAAATTTTTACTACACGTCGTAATTCGCTAGCTCTGTGATTGGTCGGCTTGGTATCGCTGATGAGTGTGGGCGGTGCTGAGAGCTGTGCGAGCCTGATGGAGCAAGTGTTTACAAGTGTGGAGTCCCGTGAAGGAGCTCTAGATGAAAACTGCTGTTTTGTGTTTATCTTATGATTTAAGTTGTTGCACGTCTGCCGCTCCCTGCCTCAAAATGAGCGACTTTGAGCCACTTGTACATTGAGCATTCAGAAAAAACAAAACACCAGCGAAGAAACTCGACACGTAGGAATATAAAAACATCACAGCCAGCTAGCGTTTCAGAAGTGTTATTGCAGAGCAACACAAACAGCACACAGAAAAGTATAAATGCACGGCTTTATAGTGTAACTAGTCAAGTAACTATTGAGTAATACTAATTAATTACATGTGCTTACTATATGGTTATGGCCAGGATGAAGTTTAGGTCCAGCATAAGTTGCAAGTAGTTAGGCATAATTCACTGTAATTACTATAGTGTACATGTGTAACAACGGCACCTTAAAACCGTATTTATTAAAACAACTCATCTCTTAATTATACAAAGATGCACAGATAAAATTGTCCAAAAGTGACAGTTATTACATTCATATTATAAAAGAATTTGATTTTGCAATGCTCATTTTATTTTAATTTTAAAAAATGTTATGCTTTCATAAATATAGCAAGCAATTCAACTGCTTTCAACATTGACAATAATATTTTAAATTTAAATTGTATTAGCATTTGAAATATTCATATTTAATTTTGATAATAAGAGCATCACTGTTTGTAATTTTTAGTACAATTAACGCAATCTTAGTGAGAATTATTTCCAAAACATTTATAAAAATTACAAATATTACAACAAACTTTTGAACGGTACAGTATTAAAGTAAAGATATGACAACTATACCTGTCTCTGGAGCTCATGATAACTCGGTCTCATGGATCAGTCGGGCGATAAAAAAGGCCTCACACGTTGGGAAGACATTGGTGAAGAGGACCTGCCAATGTGAACGTCTGCAGACATAAAAAACAGAAGATAAGCCAGTGATAATTTAACAGTTTAAGTGAATATGTTTGGACACTTTAGTTTTAGTCGGATGTGAAAAATGAAAAAGACAGTTGAAATTGAAACTGCCATCATTTACTCATCATTCACTTGTTCCAAACCATTTTGAGTTTTTGCTTTTTGCTCTGTTGAGCACCAAAGAAGATACTATAAAACCTGTAACCACTGACATCCATAGAAAGAAAAATAACATTCTTCAAAATATCTTTTGACCACACAAAAACAACGACTACAAAAGAAAATTGACCTAGTGAAGTGTAAGTAAATGATGACAGAACTTTTATTTTGGGATGAACTATCACTTTAAGACAGTTGGGAGCCACATGGCTGCTTAAGTTCTTCAACAAAAACACAAATGCTGGAATGGAAGGATTTAATGAAAAATTGTAAGCATCTGACACATTAGCTATGTAATTTAAAAACCTTCATACAAGTTTCTTTTATTAAGCATGTAGTTAAAACAACATCACCTCAGCCTTCAAACACTGTGCTCATCACTCCAGTTCAGTTCAGTTCAACACTTCCACGCAAGTTACAACCACAATATCAGTCAAACTCTTCTAACAAGGACATCCTGTCAAAACCAACTGTGATAAATAAGAGTATAAAGCGTCACGACTGTGCATAAATTGACACGATCATTTCAAGAGACTGTACTACTTTTTAATACTTGTTAACTAAACTGTACACAATGTCCTGTTTCTCCTGCACAGCCCCATATTTACCACGGAACTGCCGCGTTTGTGCACACATTTTTCGAGTATTTGATAACCAGCGAACAAAAAACACTCACACATCCACAAAGATGCTCGGTCAGGTCGGAGTTCCTTCGGTCAGTGAATCACGATGCAGCGCTGCGATGAATAGTCACGGTGGTGCAATAATAAGAAATGCAATGGTGAATTTCATGCGCGCACTTCCTCGAGCGCTCCCGCGAATATGGGTCAGCGGGCCTTATGACTCTCGAGGCGTAGCGGAAGCTCGTTCTGGTCGCGCAAAAACCACACACTCTCACTATGCGCCTTCAGATAGCGTAATGCTATTTATATCGCAGTTTAGACATTTTTTAGCTTCGTTCGGCGGCCGATCGAGCGCATTTTCGGCAGCGAAAAGGATGAAAACATTTAGGCCAGGCCTACTTTACGCGAGCAAATCAGAGTCATGCGCAGTAGCTACGCCGTAAGCGCACGCGGATCACTGCAAAATAGTGTGCGTTGAATAAAAGTGTACAACAGGGTGCTTTTTAAAAGTTAAATACTAGTTTAAGTTTTCACTATGTTTATACATTTTGTCATTAGTCTGTTACACTAATCTGCACATCTGAAATGCAAAACTAATATTTAATACAGTTTAAACGCCTGGTGTTGTTTTGGCTTTTACTTTTTTATTTCAGTTAAAGCAGAACTGTGTTCTTGAACATTTGAACATACACACACACACACACACATATATATATATATATATATATATATATATATATATAAACTAATTAATAGACTTTTTAATTTATTTATTTATTCCCTTATTTGTAATTAATTTTTTTTACTTATTTATTTTATTCATTTATTTTCTGGAAATTCCTTAACATTGTTCAATTATGCAGTGAAATGTATGTGCTTTTTGAAGCACAGACCTGAAAAGTTAATTCCCAGCTTGTAATAGTGAATATTTTGGAGCTGCACCATTTATGTTACACAATTAAAAAAGAAAACTCTGAAATGGCAAGGAAATAAAGTCTAAACAAGTTTGTTTATTATTTAAAGTTGTCTAAAAATGCTTTCAATAATCCTTTCGGATGACCATGTTATATTTGTGTGTTTACATGGTAAATGTCAAAACCTTTGCAGAAGAAAGAAAAAAAGGAATTAATTTCTTTAAATAAATTAAAACTAAAAGAGACCAGTAGACAGCTTCCTCTATGTTCTACATTAAGAAAACAGGCAAACCATTAAGCTAAGAAAATATTTCAGAAATATGGCATTTTATGAACGTGATTATTTATAAACTATTTTCGTTATTTCATTTAAATGTACAATCCGACCATATAAAGGTCACTAATAAAATTATGATTGCGATCTCTATCTCAGATGACAGTGATTCATGAAATAACTCTTATGAATCTGAAATATTTGTAAATATGTAGTCCCTGTAACTTGCTTTGCTTGGTAGATGCAAGCTTGGAAGATGCGGTTGTGTGGTGAAGCCAAAGATAAATTTCCACTTGGGGACAATACAGAAAGTACAGTAGGATTTGTTATTTAACAGCGTTATTACGGCTGTTAAGAGACTATTCTAAACTAAAATGAGAAGAAGTTTGAAAATTGAAAGAAGATTCAGTCTAACACAACTTAAGCGAATAAGAAACAATTCACACATTTTCTCGATAAATAGATTTTTCTTTTAGGAAAATTATGAGGCAAATAAAAAAGACCAGATTTTCAAATACAACCCCGTTTTCTCAAGGTTTTTTTCTGAAACTTTTTTTTCACGGTTTGTTATTACATTTGGTTTGCGTTTGTCGTCTTTTTACAGCTTTTTGATTTTTAGAGAATCGCAATTACAGCAGCAATAAAAATAATAATCCTTTATTGCCAATGAGACTTTTATTTTGGAAAAAAATGTCGCTTTTTGTTGACGTCAGTATCTGCGACAATTATTTGCGGTGGTTCGCAACTCTCCAATGTCACGTGTAAAAAGCTTTTTAAGAATTATCTATTGAATCACGGTTGAGTTGAGTTGTATATTATAGACGATGCTGATACCGTTCAGAAGGGCGTTGCTTACAGCAATCCGAAAACACAACTGTAGGCTGTTTTCTGATTCCACTGTCACTTCCAGTACACGAAAAGTAAGATTAACTTTCATCATTTGTCTTATTAAGTAAAATCTCTGTACTGGTTATTGACACTGTTTCTTGTTGTTGTGTGAACGGATATTCAGGGCTTAGTTTTAGGTGTGTATGAGCAACAGTCGGACAGTGATGGGGTGTCTCTCACGGAGGCTGCTGCGGCGTTTGACAGGTCGCTCTCCGGGAGACTGTCAGAAATGCTCTCGCTGTAAGTCAGTGTTTTGACTTTTGCAAACTCATTGGAACGTCAATTTGTTTTGTTTTTACCGTACAATGACGATTTTCTTCCTCTCTGTTTTGTAGATCTGGACCTCCCCTGAAGAAAGGCAAGAGCAGGATCTTCTATGGTTTACATCAGGTGCCAAGTCAATTCTGCCCTTTAGATGCTTGATTACGTAATAATAATAATAAATCCAGAGTTGTGGGTACATTTCAATCATTTTCTATTCATTTTTCATTAACTTGAATGATATACAGTACACAAAAATATTTACAGTAAACTGAATCGGATAATAATGTAAAATGATGCTTAAATGTGATAACGAGGGAACATTTGATTCTGTTAGTAATGTACTTCTTGTTAAACTTTTTATAGCACTAACAGAGTAGACAATAACAGAGTTGACATTTTCCACCATTTTGTGCTTTAGCTCAAGATGCTAACCTCAAACCAGATCACATTAAATGTGTAAAATGGAATTTTATGTATTTTAATCATGTTATTGTTTTTAAAGAGTGAATGAGAAATTTACTGAAATGTCACAATAGAGTTGGCAAATAAGTAATTAACCTATTAATCACATTATTGGTCAAATTATTTAGACCAACAATGACATGCCTCAAGAATTTCCATAATGTCCTGCAAGAGGAAGTGACATCACTTGGAGCAAGTCAAATGCTCTTTCTGTCAAAGCGTCAAAGATTGTCTTGGCTTTTTATAACCAGTATAATAGAATCTACCAGAATGTAGGGACTAGGGAGACAGACACAAACATATTTTGTTTATTATTTTAATTACAAATAATGCAGATATGAGATGTTTTAATCCAATTGTTTAACTAAGCGAACAGACACTCACAAAAAAGATTTGACTCAACTATTTAATGCTAAAAGTTTGCATGTTCTCCCCGTGTTGGCAAGGGTTTTTTATCCGGGTACTCCCGTTTCCCCCACATTCCAAAGACATGTGGTATAGGTAAATTGAATAAGCTAATTTGGCTGTAGTGTATAAGTGTGATTGTAAGAGTGTATGGGTGTTTTCCAGTGTTGGGTTGCAGGTGAAAGGGCATCAGCTGTGTAAAACATATGCTGGATAAGTTGGCGGTTCATTCCGCTGTGGTGGCCCCTAATGAATAAAGGGACTAAGCTGGAAAAAAACGAGTGAATGAATTTAATGATAATTGAAGCTGGACGTATGATTCTGGCGTCAGAGACTTTCTTTAAATTAATATTTTTTGTTAAAATGTCCCCAAATACACATACAAATGTTAAAAAGCCCCTTTGATGAAAATAATCTTTTGGAAGCTGTTTGGACAGAGCTGTGCGTAGGTATAGTGTATCTGCAGTCATTGGGTGATATATGGGTGATTTTACCGTCTATATTTTATTACCACAACCGCATGTCAGTACAATTATAAAAGAAAATGCTTCAATCTCACTTTGTGGATGTCAAATCAGGTTTATTTTGTACATTAACATAATGGATATCCATACAGCAGTGAATATTAACATGTATCCGGTTATATTTGCATGCAAATGCAGTGCAAAGTTAAACGCGCACTATGTGTGTGTGTCTGTGTCTGCGTGAACTTTGTAGCGACATTGTGTGTGACTCATCATCACAGAAAGGCTTGAATTAACTCCATAACAAATACAACAAATAATCATTGGGAAAGTTCTTACTGTAGTATTTCTCACAAACATTACGTGAGATCTGTTTCATGTCATTGTGCTGTTTATATGACGGAGATGAACACACTGACAGAAACGTGGTAACGGTGGGTGGGGAGAACTAGCATGAAAAAGGGGTAAATACGTGCTCTTTAAATTTACAGATAATTTGACATAATTTGTGTTATTACTCAAAACCATTTTTTTTAATAATCTAGTAATTTATCTAGGAAATGTAAAATGTACTCACAGTTTTAGAATCTACATGTATAAAATACATAATCAGTGCTAAAAAGTGATTTTCTTTTAAAGGACTTCCCTAGTGTAGTTGTGGTTGGCCTTGGCAAAAGTGACCCAGGTGTGTGTGGGAAGGAGAACTGGGACAACTGTAAAGAAAACATTCGTGCAGCTGTGTCGGGTATGTATGAATGAAACTTATAAACCTAATATCTCACCACAAAATGAAAAGAAAAATAAATAGGTTTTGCTTACAGAAAATAAAGAATGCATGAGTTCTGAGGACACTTGTTTGTATGCAACTTTTTGTACATTGCATGTATTTAAAGATGTAAATGGAACCCATTACATTAAATCATAAAGTTAATAAATAATTGTAAAGTTTTTTTATAATTAAGTTTTGAAGTTTGGAATATTAATAACCCAAATTGTGTCGTTTAGTCTCAAATAATTTTTGAGACAATTAAAGTAGACTATTTACTTTTACTTATGCTTTATAAATCCAAATTCAATTATGATTTTAAATCCATCCATCTATTTTCTTTTCGGCTTAGTCCCTTTATTAATGTGGGATCGCCACAGCGGAATGAACCACCAACTTAACTAGCAAATGTTTTACGCAGCGGATGCCCTTCCAGCTGCAACCCATCACTGGGAAACATCCACACACTCATTTACACACACACTCATACACTACGGTCAATTTTTAGCAAATCCAATTCACCTGTACCGCATGTCTTTGGACTTGTGGGGGAAACCGGAGCACCCGGAGGAAACCTACGCGAACATTGGAAGAACATGCAAACTTCACAAAGGAAATGCCCCAGCCGAGGCTCAAACCAGCGACCTTCTAGTTGTGAGGCAAATATTCTAACCACTGCGCCACCGCGTTGCTGCTTATTTTAAATATATATATATATATATGTATATATTTTTTTATTTAGTTAGATTTTTGTGAATTTAATTGGTCTTGTTTTGATGATGATGTGTGTGTGTTTTGTGTATGTATGTGTGTATGATTTGTGTGTGTATGTTTTGTATTTATGTGTATAGTTCAAAGACTAAAAGGGGGTTTTCAAACATTAAAAGTGTATCAGAGTTTAGTTGTTATTTTCTGTGTTTTAGAATTTGCCCTTTTTTAAATTTCATATTATTATTACTATCAGGGATGAGCAAAAATACATTGAAATGTATTTTAAAAT